TCCTGCAGCACGTCAGCGAAGGTGGCGTTTCCCTCGAAGCGCCACACGATCCAGAAGTTGTCACGCGACTTGGTCTTCTGCTCGGGGTGGAAAACGTGGAGAGGTGAGCGTGGGGGAGGAGTGGAGAGAGGAGAATGTTGAAGTGGAGATACAGTGGGCTTTAAGGGACGAGGCAAGTGGAGAAGGAAGGTGGCGTTGCCCTCGAAGCGCCACACGATCCAGAAGTTGTCCCGCGACTTGGTCTTCTGCTCAAGGGGGGAAGGAGTGCGGGGGACGGGGTGCAGGGGAGGGCGGAGGGGAGAGAGGGGATTAGCGTCGGACTGAAGATACAAAAGGCCCAAGGAACGAGGCAAGTGGAAGGAAGGTGGCGTTGCCCTCGAAGCGCCACACGATCCAGAAGTAGTGGTGTTGAGCGAGTTGGTCTTTTGCGCAGTGAGCGGGGAAGGAGGGCGGATGGGGGGCGGGGAAGGTGGAGGAAGGGGAGGGAGGACGAGGAAAGCGGGGGAGAAAAGAGGGGAGGAGTGTGAAAGGTGGAAGCACCAGTGGGGGAAGCACATGCGTGAACTTTTTCAGCTTTCGAGTCTAGCAGAATGAATGTGCTCATAAAATCACCTCATATCCCCACAGCGTCGTCAACAGCCCCCATCCTCACAGCATACTCCCCGCCCCTTCCCCACCCCCTCCCTCCCCTCTTTTCTTCCCCCACTCCTCCCCCTTCCAGCGCACCTCGAGGAAGCCGTCTACGAAGTCGGCGCATGCCTGCGGGAACGCGCGCCCCAGACCATTGCCAGCACCACCAGCACCACCAGCACCACCAGTCCCCACAGCATATTCCCCTCCCCCCACCTCAACCCCCAGCACCCCCCACATCCCCCTTCCTCCCCATCCAGCGCACCTCGAGGAAGCCGTCGACGAAGTCGGCGCACGCCTGCGGGCACGCGCGCCGGACGCGCTCGTTCATCCACAGCTCCGCCGCGCCGAACTCGCTCGCCTTCTTCACCACGAACTGGCGGGGGGGGAGGCGGGGAGAATGTGGGGGGAGGTGGGGAGAAGGTGGGGAGGAGGTGGGAAGGAGGCGGGGAGGGGGTGGGGAGGAGGTGGGGAGGAGGTGGGGAGGGGGTGGGGAGGAGGTGGGGAGGGGGTGGGGAGGAGGTGGGGAGGAGGTGGGGAGGGGATGGGGAGGAGGTGGGGAGGGGGTGGGGAGGAGGTGGGGAGGGGGTGGGGAGGAGGTGGGGAGGAGGTGGGGAGGGGATGGGGAGGAGGTGGGGAGGGGGTGGGGAGGAGGTGGGGAGGGGGTGGGGAGGAGGTGGGGAGGGGGTGGGGAGGAGGTGGGGAGGAGGTGGGGAGGGGATGGGGAGGAGGTGGGGAGGGGGTGGGGAGGAGGTGGGGAGGGGGTGGGGAGGAGGTGGTGAGGATGGAGGGAGAAAGAAGGCGGAGCATGGATGAGAAGGCACGTGCAAGTAAGACGCTCGTTCATCCACAGCTCCGCCGCGCCGAACTCGCTCGCCTTCGTCACCACGAACTGGCGCGCGAAGAAAACAGACCCAAGGGGAAGAGAAAGACGCAGGGGACGGGATGGGGGCGGGGCAGGATGGGGGACGGGCGGGGGAGGCAACAGGAGCGAGAGGGGTGAGACGGACGGGATTGGGGGCGAAGGGGACGGGATGGGGAGGAGGTGGGGCGGATGAGGTACTGCCTCATTGAATGGGCAAGAAGGGGCATGAACCTCTGAAGGGGCATGGACATGGGCCTCACTGCAGCTAAGACGCTCGTTACGTCCAGTCCCTTCTTATACCAACCCGGCCAACTAGCTCCGCTCCCTCCCCGCGAGTATCCCCACGCCCCTTCACTCTCAATTCCCCAACCTTCCCCAGCTTGCCCCGTCCTGCGCTGACCGGTTCGCTTCATTCCCCCTAGTCTCGCCGCACTTCCCCCTTTCACCTATTCCCCTTATGCGCGCACCTCTTCCCCGGGCTTGTCCGCGATGGTGGCGCGGAACACGCTACCGTATGCGCCCTCCCCCAGCTTGCGCCCCAGCTTCACGTCGGACTGGGCGCGCGGAAAGGGGAACGGAAATTTGGGGGAGAGGGGGAAGGAGAGGAGAAAAACGCCATTTTTTCCAGGGGAGAAGGGGCAAAGAAAGAAGGATGAGCGGGAAGAGGGTAAACGGGCGGTTGCGGTCGCAACAAGCGCATTACACGCGGGTCAAGACCAGGAGCGTCAATTAGAAGAGAATAATCAGGCATTCATTAGTGGAATGTTCCACATAAGCTTGCGAAACAGTTACCTACGGCTTCTGTTCACGAAATGTTTCGGTACACTGTTTCTAGTCGTTGAGATCCGCCTCGCGAAAATTCAGCCACGAGGAAAATTCGCCTCGCGTGAAGAACACCCTTTTCCCAACGCGCCTCTCACCTTCTTAAGCTGCGGCCGTATTTTGCGCTCGATCGGCGCGTACACGAACATATCGAAGAACCCGGGAACGACGCCGGGCGTGGCCCACATGTACGTCCCCAGAAGCACCAGCAGCAGCACCCCTCCCACCGTCAGTCTCAACTGATCGTCCGCCGCGAGCGTGCTCCGGTAGATGACGTCACCACATTGCATGACGGTGCACGGGAGACCCACGCCGACGGCCAGGAAGAGAGAGGAAAGAGATCCGTCCGTCAGGGCGCCGTCAGAGCTGACGGCTGCCGTTAACGAGACGAGAAGGTCGTTGACGGGTCCTGAGGCGTCGCATCGTGTGCTGAGGGCACCGCCATTTGAGCTAGAGCTATGACCGGATTTGAGTGAGCTTGGGAGGGATTGAGAGCGGCGAAGTTGTAACAATCGCAGGCTGGCAGGAGTAGAGGTGAGCGATGAAGTTAGGGAAATGCGGGAAGCGGAGGAAGCGGGAGATGCGGACGGGGAGGCTCCGCGCGGGAAACAGTTTCCCGCTTGAAGACAAGAAGCTTCGACTGCTGCCATGCTGCAGACGGAGTCTTCGCTACTGGTATTCTATGACAAGGCTGACTTAAAAGTTCGAGCAGGTGCAGTGACCTGCTCGCGTGGATAACCTACTGCTGGTTCGCTGACAGGTTTGATCCCAGTGAAAATGGCTTATTGCCCAGCCTTGCTAAAGTTTCCTCGCGCGGGAACGAGGCGAGCGCGGAATTGAGAATTACGTGGATCCCGCTTCCACGGTATTAGCTGTCAGAGACAGCAGATGACTAACAGGGTTGACAGCTAGAAAGCATGGTGTTCTGAAGTGAACGGTGTGACTCCGTTGGTCGCTAGTCACATTCACAGATTGGAATATCACTGCTGGGAAATGAGCTTGAATGATATGGGAGGAAATAGTGGGAGGGTGAAAGGCTGAGCAGGTGTGATGGGATGAGGTGAGATGTCGGAGGGTTTGAAAGGGTTGGGATGGTTCGAAAGGAATTAAGGATGAATCAAGGGATTGCTGGTCAGATTAGGAATCAAGGTATGGTTGCCCCAAGCAGCAGTCAGTGGGGTGTGGTGGGGGAGGAGAGGTGAGAATCACGAATGTCTAGCGGGATTGCTGGTCAGGTGAATGCGCTCGTCAATTCCAAAAAACTGCCAACTTCTGGAAGTGTTATCTGGGCAATGTTCCGATATTTCTCGAAATGGGATAGGCTGGAGACCTGACGAATGACTAGACATAGCACGTTGCCGACTCAGCAAGGCTAGTCACGCGTGTCGAAAGCGCGCGGTTGACAATCTGGATGCAGAAAAATGTGGTGATTGTATCGACACGTGGATAGAAAATCTAGTTCTATGATCCGATGGTTGAGGTGCATGTCAGAGACTGACGACGACGATCCCCCGAATGAAAGTCGTCAATGGCACTGGTGCATGAAAGGTGGGTGGTGAGGTGATGATGAAGGGGAGCGGTGGTGATGGGCGACAAACTGTTCATACCGTCGTTTTTTTACTAGGGAATGTGGACTTGCAAGAAATATGTTAGCAGGTCACTCGATACGTGTAGCGTAGGTATTCCAAATCATAAATACGTTAGCGGGTCACTCAATCGAGTAGCAACGGCTCACCTAGACGGACGATGCAGCTGCGTCATGAAACCAGAAATCCAGGTCACTAGAGGATTTGGTGGGCTGACCTCTTCGCTCGATTCTTGGCTGTACCTTCGTGGGAAAATGTCGTAGAACCTGCCAAGCTGGCAGAATATGTGGCTCACATAAACAAAAGTTTTGCTCAACAAAGTGTGAACACTTATCCCAATTGTGTGCCGCCACAATCTCCCACCATGTGCCAATGTGAAATCCAAACAGGGCTCTTGGTCCTGCCAATTTTCAGCGCGTGTTTATCCTCGGGAAGTCTTTCCTGGATTTGACCATCCTCCGCCCTCATCTAGGCTGAACTCTGCTCATCTCCCCTCGTGAGGATCATCATCATTCTTGCGTTATCCGTATTGAAACAGGTTCAGCTGCTTGTGCGTAGAAAAGCAGGAGTTCCTGAAGTCGCGTTGTTCTCACCTAGTTTTTTCGGAGACTACATCCTAGCCTGGACGCAATAACTATTGCACTTGCTTATCATGGCGGCGACGCTCAGCCATGCCGCTGCTTCCTGTAATGCAGTCGTCGCGTCAATGCCTTCTTGTAACGCCCTTGCGTCTTCCGCCATTACCAAGACAACGCGACTACATTTGAATTCCTCCGTGCTATCTGGCAGTTTCCCGCTCCGCTGCAATACACCAAACATCAAAACATGTTCCGTCTCGCGAAAGCAGGTTACCGGAGTTCGCGCGATGGCGACGGAAAGCTCGTCGTCCGTCGCATCAGCGGAGGTGTCGGGAGGGGATCACGGAGGTCTCAAGGTCGGCTACCACACGGCGCAAGGCCGGCGCGATAGCATGGAGGATCACCTGGTCGTGATCCGAGACATTCCCGGCGGTTTTCTCTACGCTGGCATCTTTGACGGCCACGCGGGGAGCTCTTCCGCTCGGTTTTTGAAGTACGAGCTCTTTTTTTTTTTTTCCAATGCCTGTCACTATCTTCCCATGTCAGTGGCCCGCATCCCTCCAATCGTCACGATATGCTAGATCGTGACTTTACACCCTCCGTTTGAGAATGCACATTCCAATACGTGTTGTGTCTCCTGGGTAATGTGTAATGGGTGATGGGTGATGGTTGATGGGTAATGTGTATTGGGTAATTTGTAATGGGCGATGGGTGATGGCAGGGACGAGCTGTACATCGACTGCATGGACGCGTTAGAAGGAGGCGCGTTACTGTCGGACGAGGACCTCGATGCCGTGGAGGACGCGCTTCAAGACGCCTTCATTCAGGCGGACCAGCGGCTGCTGCAGTGGTGAGTGCAGCACTGCTAGTTGGTGATACTATCTCTTGTAGCAGGGCTTGGTTGTAACGAGGAATTTGGAGGACGCGCTTCAAGACGCCTTCATTCAAGCGGACCAGCGGCTGCTGCAGTGGTGAGTGCAGCACTGCTAGTTGGTGATACTATCTCTTGTAGCAGGGCTTGGTGTAACGAGGAATTTGGAGGACGCGCTTCAAGACGCCTTCATTCAAGCGGACCAGCGGCTGCTGCAGTGGTGAGTGCAGCATCCGCATGATCGAAATGGCTAGCTGCCGGTCATACTGCTTCTTGTAGCAAGACATATTGTAACGAGGAATTTGGAGGACGCGCTTCGAGACGCCTTCATTCAAGCGGACCAACTGCTGCACCCATCCGCCCATGCATTCACGCACCCATACACCCATGTCCGTCTATGCATCCACACGTCTTCACACGATCAGGTTGGAGGAGCACAGTGAGGAGCCGGAGTCCGCTTCCACAGCACAGGCACGGTGGCGTTTGTGTGCAAGGATCACAATTACTCGTCATGCGTCTTCACATGCATTCACGCACCCATGCACCCATCCGCCCATGCACCCATGCACCCATCCGCCGATGCACCCATGCACCCATCCGCCCATGCACCCATGCACCCATCCGCCCATGCACCCATGCACCCATCCGCCCATGCTCCCATGCACCCATGCGCCCATGCTCCCATGCACCCATGCGCCCATGCTCCCATGCACCCATGCTCTCCAGGTTGGAGGAGCACAGTGAGGAGCCCGAGTCCGGGTCCACAGGCACGGTGGCGTTTGTGCGCAAGGACCGCCTCTTCATCGCTCACCTGGGGGACTCCCGCGCGGTGAGTGCCTCTAGCAGCACCACTGTTGTCTGCACGAGGGGCTGTGGGTGACTATGGAGGCACAGTGGCGTTTGTGCGGGGACTATGGGTTACTATGGACCATCTCTTTCTTCATCGCTCACCGGGTATACTCCCACGCGGCACATTGCAGCTGCCAACAATGCAGCTGTTCCTGGTTTCAGAGGAGGTAGGGGGGCTGTGGGCCTGGGCCAATATGGAGGCACATTGCTGCTGAGGCGCTTCATGTAATGTTCTGTTCCATTCCCTTCATCCCAGGTGCTCGGGGTGGGAGGTGACACGGAGGACCTGTCTCAGGACCACAAGCCGCATGGGGAGTCACCAAGTGCTTGATTCTTAGGCGATCGTTGAGTCGACTGAATAATCGTGCAAAACTCAATCTCTCCCACCACCATCATCCCAGGTGCTCGGGGTGGGCGGAGACACGGAGGACTTGTCTCAGGACCACAAGCCGCATGGGGAGTCACCTATTGCTTCTTACTGAGGCGCCTCATGATTCAATCTCTTCCATTCCCTTCACTCCAGGTGCTGGGGGTGGGTGGAGACACGGAGGACTTGTCTCAGGACCACAAGCCCCATGGGGAGTCACCGATTGCCAAGGCAGAGATCAAGCGGATTGAGAAGGCAGGCGGATGGGTGAGTAGCGGTTGCTGATGGGTTGCTGTGGGTGGGAAGGGGCTGGAGGAATGTGGAGCAGGGGTGATGTGGGATGTGTGGAGGAGGGGGAGGAGGGGATAAGGGGGGGAGAGGAGGGATGGTGACATGGAAACTTGGGGCAATGTGGTGACGGGGAGTGAAGGCATGCGATGGGAACAAAGGCATTCCGAGTCAAAAGTTGAATGAATTCGCATAGACCATGCTCCCCGTTAATGTGCATCGGTTCTGGATCTCTTTGCTGTTTGTGTGCGAATGGGTGACTGTGTGCGAGTGTGGCTGTGTGTGTGTGTGTGTGTGTGTGTGTGTGTGTGTGTGTGTGTGTGTGTGTGTGTGTGTGTGTGTGTGTGTGCATGGCTGGACGTGTGTGGGTGTATGGCTGTGCACGCTTGTCTGCCTGCCCATGTCTGTGATTTATTTAAACATAGGTGAGTCAAGGCCGCGTGTGCGGAGTGGTGGCAGTTTCCCGTGCCTTTGGCAACGCCAACTTCAAGACACGCCGCGAACAGTAGGCTCATGGCCCTCAAACGCAGTTTCAGTTTCAGCATCCCTTGTTGAATTGAAGCTAGTGTCTATGCCGGGAGGTTCTGGAGTCTGGATCATGCAACCCCCCAGCCATCCTAGGATGATCCCACTGGCAGGCACCACCCCTGTTGACATATTCCATCTCTCCACTCCACTCACCATGTGTCATCATTGCCCCTCATTAACACCACCCCATCCCGCCACCCTGTGGGCTGCAGGATGTTATCAGAGGGCGTGAAGAAGGGGCGTTGGACAACCCGCTTTGTTTCCAAGTAAGTGCCACTTACCCCGAGTCAACTCAAAAGCAGGTATGTGCCATTTTCTCTGATTTTGAATCGACTCAAAAGCAAGTAAGTGCCAGTTACTCTGCGTAATTTCCCTTGTGCCTTCAGAAAGCTTGTGCTGCTTGGAGCTCCAGCCGCTTTGCTGATGGAGCTCCATCCACCATAACACCCTCCTCGCCATGCCCTCCCATCTCAGGCGCTCATTTCAAAGTGATTGGATCTCTGCAGTCCCGGACGTGTACGCTGCTGAGCTGGCTTTTTCAGTAGACTTGAAAGTCATCTCTCCCCACTATTGCACACTCATTGTGGTTCCCTCTCAGGCGCTCGTTTCAGAGCGATTGGATCTCTGCAGTCCCGGACGTGTATGCTGCTGAGCTGGCAGATGATGCGGAGTTTGTTATTATTGCGTCAGACGGGCTCTGGGAGGGCGTGAAAAGGTAGGGCCCTTTGACAAGACCCTCTGCTGGCGCCCTCACATGATGCCATGCTTTTTCCATGCTTTCTTGGGGCTGGTTTCCTTGCTTTTTTGATAGGGAAGGCTAAGGCTCTTTGACCTGGTCTGGTTTGGTTTGCTGCTACAGCTCGGAAGCTGTTGCGTTTGTTCGGAAGGAGCTGGAAAGCCATGGTGACATTCAACAAGCAACAGACAACCTAGCCAGTTTTGCCCTCGAGGTACTTGAAACACTCCTATTATTTTGCAGTGCACTCCCATTGCATACCCACATGTGTTTGAGATCTCATCCTCATGCTTGGTGCCCTTCTGCAGGATCGAAAAGGAGAGGATAACATCAGCATCGTCATTATTGGCTTGAAATAAAACATCTCATTGTTTAGGTTGGAGGAAAAGGCTGCTGGATTGTCTATGCTTTGAAAAGCATTCATTTGCTGTACAAAAATAATTGCATTGCCATGAAGACAAGAATGCAATGGGTCAAAGATCCCCCAAATTTGAAGTGGCGGAAACACCCCATGACGCGTACATGCCGAAGGGGAAAGAATGCGGCGTGGTTCGTGATTTTCAGGGGCTTTCATCTTCTCCCATTTCGTTACCCGGTTCGCAGCCAATGGAATCTAATGAGCTCTTCGTACGGAAACCCGTAGTTGTGCACTTTGGTGGTCGTGTTCGTGTATCAGTTCCTTGTTCGTGCTCGTGTTCATTGAGATTTTACTTTTACCTGATCATATCGATGCATCGCAGTTCTCGTAGGATACTCACCCTACCCAAATTAGTTTCGTCCACGATCCGGGAGGGACTCAATCTGCTGGTTATTTCGTGTAGGCTCCGTAAGGCACGCTTACGGATCACAGGCTTTTCGTGGTTGAACGTCCGAATTGCATGATTCGTGATCAGCTTTATTGTGTCTTACACAACTTCGTCGAGACGCACTGACAAGGGGCTCCCGATATTCAACACGTACAAAGGGCTGCACAAGGGCTGAAACGTGAACGATAACAGAATTCGGGATGCAATTCCGGCAATCCGAGGGCCAAACATGACGTTTTAGATCCGAACGTCTAACGAGAGGCTGAACGAAGCGCTACGGATCCCAGCGGCAAGAGAATTTGACAGCTAACGGAAGCGCCTGGAAGAGAGCGCCTGGAAGCAGGACAGGGGCCGCAGCGCAACTGACGGAGGACTGGGCGCGGACTTGGGGGGAGCTGGGAGGGGGGCGACGGGTGGAGAATGGCCGGCAAGGCAAGTTCCGCGAAGCTGCGTGAGGCGTTTAAGTATTGCGTGGACCAAGTCAGGTGCGTGCGTGGATCGTGAAGGGTTTGAAGGGTGAATGGTTCATGAGGCATGACACACATGCTCATCCATGATGCATGCATGCTACATGGTTTGAAGGGGGAATGGTCCATGAGGCATGACACACATGCTCATCCATGATGTATGCATGCTACATGGTGGAGGCTCGATGGTGATTGTTGAGTGCCGGAGGGAGGGGGCATGAGGCATGACACACATGCTCATCCATGATGCGTGCTGATGCATGACACACACGGCAGCATGGCTATCCCGTTCAAGTCATCATCCATCCATTACCACCCGCAACATGGCAGGAGGCATGACTCGGAACACTACCCTGGAGCCACCCAATTCCATAGCACAGCACCATGTGTCGCATACATTCCAGCACAGCACAGACCCACCCAATTCCATAGCACCCTACCATGTGTGGTACATTCTATACCACCCATCTTTACTCGCAACATGGCAGGAGGCATGACTCGGAGCACTACATCGGAGCGTTGTACATGCCAGCACAGCACAGGCCCACCCAATTCGCGCTCAGAGCATTCAATGTGGAGACCTCCCTGGTAAGACCTGCGCCACCCTCTTATGTGAATTTTACTTTTGAGAATTCTCAAAAGTAAGATCCATTCAGAGCATTCAATGTGGAGGCCTCCCTGGTATGTCCTGCCACCCTCCTGCGCCACCCTCTTGCTGCACTGCCCCATTGCCCCACTCTCCCGCTGCCCCCGTCAACTCTGTTTTCCTCTCGACTCTCTTTCGTCCCACAGCTCTTCTCCTTCTCAACGCCACAGATTCCTGAAAGGGCACGGGAGCAGCGCCTTGTGCCTTAACACTGCACGCCTTTTCCTCTCTTTCCTTCCACTGCTCTTCTCCTTCTCAACGCCACAGATCCCTGAAAGGGCACGGGAGCAGCGCCTTGTGCCTTAACACTGCACGCCTTTTCCTCTCTTTCCTTCCACTGCTCTTCTCCTTCTCAACGCCACAGATCCCTGAAAGGGCACGGGAGCAGCGCCTTGTGCCTTAACACTGCACGCCTTTTCCTCTCTTTCCTTCCACTGCTCTTCTCCTTCTCAACGCCACAGATCCCTGACAGGGCGCGGGAGCAGCGCCTTGCCATCATTCGCCTCGCCTGGTGGAGAGACGCCCTCACCCGCCTCTTCCAGGTAACTTCCCCCCGCCCTCCTCCTCCCCCAGCTTCCGCCCAAGACACGTTTGAGAATTCTAAAAAATGATATCAATCCAGCCCGAACCTGCAGTCTCTTCCTAAACGAAACCCTACGTGCATGGCACGCACAGGCCCAGCCCCCTGTGCGACTTTCGAGTCGTCCAGTGTTACGTTTTTCGGCTTTTGAGGCGCCGTTAATCCGCATTTTCCTTTTGAACATGCCCAATGTTGCCAGGGCCAGCCCCCCGAGGACCATCCAGTGCTGGTGGCGCTGGGGGCAGTGCAGGAGGTGACGGGCATCACCAAGCCATGGCTGATGCGCGTCATTGCTGCGCGGGTGGGTGGGAGATGGGTGACTGGGTGTGGAGGGGGGAGGGGAGGGTGTGGGGGAGGGTGCATTCCCTGCTCGGTGAAATGTTCTGGCTCGCTCTCATCTCCCACCTCTCATCTCCCACCTCTCATCTCCCACCTCTCATCTCCCACCTCTCATCTCCCACCTCTCATCTCCCACCTCTCATCTCCCACCTCTCATCTCCCACCTCTCATCTCCCACCTCTCATCTCCCACCTCTCGTCTGCCACCTCTCGTCTGCCACCTCTCTCTCTTTCTCATCGCTTTCTCTCCTTGTGCCTGCCGTTGACCTTACTGTCCCTCTGTGCCTGACGTCATTGACCATCATTGACCACCGTTGACCACCGTTGACCATTGTTGACCACCATTACCCATCATTACGCATCATTACCCATCATTACCCATCACTACGACCCATCCCATTGCATCAGATCGAGGACTTAGAGCGGTCGGCCTTCCCACCCAACACGATAGCCGATGTGGAACAGTGAGTGCCACTGCATTGTTGTGTCGGTGGGCGCAAGAATCAGCTTGGAACAGTGAGCGTCACGTTGTCTTGGTTGACTCACAGATCAAGGAACAGTGAGTGCCACCTTGTCGTGTTGAGTGTGTGTTTATCATGTGTGCATACCTGCCTGCCTGCACGCATGCATGGAAGTGCAGGTACGCGGAGTCAACGTCCTCGGCGCTGCTCTACCTCTCCCTGCAGGCTGCTGGCATCCACAGCGTGCATGCCGACCATGCTGCCTCCCACATTGGTAACCATGATGATAACCACATTGTAACCACAGTGGTAACCGCATTGGTGATCACATCGGTAGGATCAGTTTTGCTAATGCAGACTGCAGGCTGCTGGCATCCACAGTGTGCACGCTGACCATGCTGCGTCCCACATTGGTAACCACAATGGTAACTTCTTTGTTACTCACGTTGGTAACCACATTGGTAACCACATTGCTGTTGCGGCCCACCTCGGTGCTCCTCCTCTCCCACCCAGGCAAGGCGGAGGGCATGGCTCTTCTGCTGCGCGGCACATCGTACCACGCTGCATAGAGGCGCTCACACATTCCTCTAGACGTGGCTCCATTGGTAGCTAACCACATTAATGCTCCTCACTCTCCTCCTCCCAGGCAAGGTGGAGGGCATGGCTCTTCTGCTGCGCGGCGCATCTTACCACGCTGCACAGAGGCGCTCCCACATTCCTCTAGACGTGGCTGCATTGGTAGCTAACCACATTGATGCTCCTCACTCTCCCACCCAGGCAAGGCGGAGGGCATGGCTCTTCTGCTGCGGGGTGCATCGTACCATGCCGCACAGAGGCGCTCCCACATTCCTCTAGATGTCGCAGCAAAGGTGCGTTTCTGTGATGACTAGGCGTGGGGCATGGCATTGCTCTTCTGCTGCGCGGCGCATCGTACCACGCTGCACAGAGGCGCTCCCACGTTCCGCTAGATGTCGCAGCTAAGGTACAGTGCATATTCACTGCATTTATGTCTGTTGATTCACTTTATCCAATTTCTCTCCAAACTTCACATACACTTTATTGCTGTTCACCTTTTCATTTACTGCCTCCTAGTTCGCTTGCTAACCCAATTATCTTACCACCAGCATGGGTTGGTGCATGATAAGCTGTTCCGCGGGAGGCAGCCGCCCAGCTACAGGGAATGTGTGTACGATGTGGCATGCGTAGCACAACCTCCTGCCTTTTTCCCCTAATCCAATTATCGTACCACCAGCATGGGTTGGTGCACGAGGAGCTGTTTCGCGGGAGGCAGCCGCCCAGCTTCAGGGAGTGTGTGTATGACGTGGCGTGTGTGGCGCAAGCACATATGCAAAAGGCCAAGGCCTTGCAGTCCTCCTTGCCTCCCGTAGCTCGACAACTGCTCTTGCCATCAGCCGTAAGTTCTACCACCAATGACTCTTGTTCTCGAAATACTTAAGATGTATATGGAAACTGACAAAGCATTAAGGTGTTGTTTTGCAGGTGGGTGCAAATCTTTTTCTTCACAACCTGCAGCGGCACCACTTCGATGCAATGGATCCTTCGCTTCTCCGAGGAGTGTGGGGAGTGTCTCCTCTATGGCTGCACTCAAATTTGTTATGGAAATCACTACGGCAATCTGCCTTCTAGCTTGAGTTTGCATGTACGAGAATATTATATGCATTTTCAGCTGTGAGCTGTAAGAGTGTTTTCCTTCATATTTCCCCCCACTAACCAAACATGTTTGTTCACCAATGGGCGTTCCACCCATGTAGCCGTTCCACCAATAATCGGGCTACACGTAAGCATCGAAATGACTCTTACTGTATCCGTTTCGAAATTGAAATTTCACTGCCTGTCTGACACCACACACGTACCCTTTGGAGTCGCGCGCTTGGCCAATTTGAATTCCCGAGTCCCGACCCGCTCGAATCGACAATTCCTGTCTGCTCCGTTTCAGCAGAATCGCGCGATTCTACATCCAACTTAGCCCATCTCAACCAAGCTAGGCCCAACCTCACCCTACCAAAAACAACCGGACCTATAATAATCTCGCAGAATACCACCTGTCTTTGGCAGTGTGTTCAGCCCGTTGCGCTGATATTTTAGTTATCGCCAAATACACCGACTGTCGGAAGCAAGTTGGGGCTTTCCAGCTTGTGTCACGACTTTCCCGTTGCATATTCTGGAGGAATAAATATAGAGTAGTAAATATACTCCACTAAGTCTTCGCCTGGCTTTTGCGCCAACACTCCGTTGGCTAGTCTCCATACGAACTGCTCCCACCCGGCTACCTCCACCTCCGCCAACATTCCACGCGTTTTGACGCCACCTCCTGCTGCCGATTCAGTGATAGCTTCCAGTACGGCCGCCTTCAGGCTCTTGTGTTTCACTTCCGCTAGGTCAGTACGATGGGGTTGCGGAAGAAACCCGCTAGAGGAGCTTCGCTTTCCCGACTGGAGTACCTATCGCTGCTTCTCCTCTTTGTCGCGATAGTCGCAACCCCGACAAACGCACTCCGCAAACCCCGCCGCCTCATGCGGGGCCTGCAAGCCATTCGAGCCGCGCTTCCCCTTGAATTTACGGCCACCATGGCATCCGATCCCGCGACGGTCGGGGTGACGACGTGGCGCCCTGCGATTCGCCGGTTGATCACAGCGATTGGATTAGCGTCGGCCAAGTCACCCGCAGTTCCCAAGCAGAACACCGGCGCTAACGTGGCAATCGGCGGCGAAAACCCAACGGTCGCCCAGAAGCAGGACGTTGCGAAGCAGGAGAGCGCGGCGCCGAACCTCCAACGGTCACCGCCCAACACGGTCACCTCGGAACTCCAGAATAAGAGCTCCAAAGACAACTCGCACGAGAGCTCCGTTGGAAACAGCAATGACCACGAGAAAAGCGGCGGCGGCGGCGGCGGCGGGTGCTCTGGTAGCAGCGACTTGGATTTTGATTTGGCGCCTCCCTCGCTCGCCTCCCCGTGCCTGCACCTTTCTGGGGGCGATCCCCCTCGTGCCGATCGTCGCTCCAGCCGCCTGTCGTCGCTCCCCGTCGCATGCCCCGCGCGCCCCGCCATGTGCGACTTCTTCTTTGACGGCTTGACGGACGAGTTGCCGGTCATCCGTTTGTCCGCCGAGTCTTTTTTCGCCGGCCGGCCGATTCCTATCGGTCCGTCTCCCGTGGCCGCCATGGCTGGCGGGACCTTCGTGGATGTTTCGCGCGTGGAGGGGAACTACTCCCGCGCCGTGTGTCTGGACAAACCAGCGGAAGAGCCGGCGCCAGTCACGGCGACGGGGCAGGGGAAAAACACGGACGTTTCGAAGAAGCTTCTCCAGGACCAGCTGATTCTTCCAGAAAGGTTGTTTCAGCTGCGCGGAAGCGGAGAACTGATGTACAACGGTGCTGACGTGGCGGACTGGGACGACGACGACACGTGGCTAGCGGCGGCTAAAAGCCCCGATGGCGTTACCGTAAGCGTGCAAATCGACGAAGCTACAGTGAACCTGTTCGGTGTCAATATCGAGCTTAACAATACCGAGGATGGATCCGCCACGTCGGAGAACCGCGAAGTTCCTGGCGCCGAGGCGCAAATGGCTCTACTCGAGGCATCCTCGTTATTAACAGACCCATCGTCTTTCATGAACCAAGCAGCCCCGCCGTCAGCCTCGCCACCATCACAAGCAGCAGCAGCAGCAGCAAAGGCGGCGGCGGCGGCGGCAGCACAGAACGGGATTGCCCACAAGAAGCTGTTGGAAATGCCTGAGCGAGAGGCGGTTTCCGCCAGGCGACTGGCAGAGGGAGAGAGCGCAACCGCGGGGGACGCGGCGACACAGTGGCAAGAGATGATGCTGAATGCTGGAGTCGCGTCAATCCCTGAGGCAGGGCGCCTGGCCCTTCCCCTGGTGGCGACTATTGTGATGCCAGAGGATAGGGACTCCAGTTCTGCTGCTTCTGGCTTGCGCGGTAGTGCTGGTGCTCGTGATGGTGATGCTTCTGGCGCGGGTGCCGGTGATGGGAGAGACGCGGGGAGTGTGGAATCGGAGGAGAAGCGCAACTGGCTGAACCAGCCAACAACCAGCGGTGCTGTGGAGGGGGTGAGTGAGAAGGGCTCAGGGAGCGGCAGCGCCAAGGGTGCTGGTGCTGCTGGTGATGCTTCTGGCAAGAGCAGTGATGGCAAGAGCAACAAGGTTGCAGACGAGGTTGCGGAGGTTCCAGAACAGCACCATGACTCTGAGGCAAACAGCCGCTTCTACTTCCCTTTGCACCGCCGGTGCATTTTGTTCCGAGTCAAGCTTGTTTGACATGACGTTAGGGGTAGGCTTTTGGTAGTATCGGATGGGGTAAATGGTGTCTCTCGCACCTATTAGGCAGAGCTCACAAATCAGCGTTGTGATGTGGTTTCCAAATGATGATTAATGATTTTCGACTTCATGAAATGTGTACACCTCACTTGCGATGGACCTAATCGGGCTGCTGGTGATGTACATGGTAGTAAAGGGTTTCCTGGCGATTAAGGCAAGGTCCTAAGATAGGGGTCCATGGTTCAAGGCTGGAGGAGTAACACTCCAAGGCTAGTCTATAGTGCCAGCTGCTCCTACTTCCCCATGGACTGTGAATAGGACTGGGTCATGGTGTCTGTTACACCTAATATGCAAAGCTGCTGAAAATTTCATGTGGTGGTGTCCAAACTGTTATCAGCATAATTCACATTGCAAACCTGTGTTTGACTTGTGGCTATGCCGAATTGTTTTCCCTATTCAGTTGAAGATACAAAACCACCCAGATTTTGAAGCACCGATATTTCATACTGCGAAGTCACAAACGCGTACGCTGAACCCTTGTGAACCCGAAACCTGGGGAACTCCAGAACCTCCGTGCACTCCCTAGTAGACGTATTTACTCCCCAGCGATCGCTAACATCTAGGAGCGAAAATAGGTTGCTTCTGACGCTCAGGATAATAGGCGTTTAACCTACCTGTCAGAAGTTAGCGTCCTGTCGTAAGGTTTGCAGAGACCCCATTTGACTCCTAACTTGTGACTACCTTGCTGGTTATTGTCTGGCTTTACAATGAAGATTAAGGTGCTGTCGCGATCGGAAGAGCAGTTCACGCGCGAGCGAAAGCAAGATGTGCAAGTAAGTCTCGATATAAGATGTTTCGTTCACGGATTCTAATGAGCAAGCCAGGAATGCAAGGAGCAACGGACATGGTCAAAACTGGCGCATACAGGCGGAGGAGAACATCCATAATCCGCGATACAAGCCCGGGTAGATTAACGAAACATCATACCAGAAATGTCCCTTATCTCACTGTTCTGTTTTGCACCCCACTCTTCGAGAGCGCATTGCGATTCGTACCCATGCTACAGCCGTTCATAATGAGTCGATTTTTTGAGTGGACTCAAATATCGACTCTCCGAGAGCGCGTTACGATTCGTACCCGTGCTACAGTCGATCTTAAAGGCTGAGGGCTGTCAACGAGGTTTGAGGCGTCTCAGAAGCGCGCGTCGCAATCCGTACCCACGTGACAACCGTGATAGTAGGCCGACGAGTGACTGCGCGTACTGAACGGCAGTATCCCCCCCAAAAGTCAACTTTTCTCTCTGCTCACGCTCTTTTCCCCGTGTTGAGAATGTACAAAGGAATCTCGGCCCAGCGCTGCACCTCCTGGAGAAGGGGAAGGAATATCAGCGCGCGCTCAACTCCGTGAAGCCAAGCCTCACCACTAACCCCCTCAAACCCCCCCCCTCCCCCCCCCCCCCCCCCCCCCCCCCCCAACCCTTCCCACAACTTCCCCACCTCCTCCCCACTAGAAAGTGCACAGGAATCTCGACCCAGCCTTACACCCTCTCGAGAAGGCGAAGGAGTATCAACGCGCGCTCAACGCCGTGAAGCTAGACAAGGTGTTTGCCAAGCCGTTCATGGGCGCTCTTGGTAGCCACGCGGACGGCGTCTCCGCCATGGCGAGGAGCCCCGTCAGACTCAACTGCGTTGTTTCCGCCTCCATGGACGGAGGTCAGTAGTTAGCAACTCCACACTGAATTGAATATTGTACCCAGAACCTCCAGCCATAAACCGTGCGCCCTTTTTGTGTGTGTGCCCTTTCATCTGCGCAGTAGGCCTGCCCTGAACCCTGCTAGTGGTGTGCTTATTAGCAACACTAATGTGTTCCTCCCCCCCTTCTCCTCCCTTACCTCCCCCCTCTCTCCCCCCCTCCCTCTCCCCTCTCTTCCCCCCCCTCTCCTCCCCCCACTTCTTCATCGTTTCTTACGTCACATGTGGCCTGCTCCTCAGATGTGCGTTTATGGGACGTCCCTTACAAGTGAGTTGTGTCCTCTGCACCTACACATAGCTCGCCCAGTTCATGTTTCACACGTGACCATGACTCGCTCTTTGATGCACCTAAAATTTTGTTCCGTACACCCACCCACACATGGTAGGCACCTTTTTTCAGTTCATTCCGGGGCCTCGTTGTATCTGTATATCGTCCCTCCCCACCCAACGCACCTTCCTTCTCCATCTGCCTCGGTGCGATTCAACGTTTCTCCCTTCTCCAGGCGCACGCTGTGCCGGTTTGTTGGGCACAGCAGGGCAGTGAGGGGCGTGGCGATCTCGTCAGACGGGGAGACAATGCTGTCCTGTGGTGATGACTGCACGTGAGTGTGACTGGATGGTGTGTGGAGAGATAATTTCAATTCATGAGTTCAATAGTGTGAAATAAAGAGCCGTGCATGTGCGAGTGTCGGGCACACAAGTGTTGTGAGGGGCGTGACCATATCAGCGGATGGAGAGACCATACTGTCCTGCAGCAATGACTGCACGTGAGTGTGACCACCTGTAGGGAGGGAAGAGATTATGAGGAATTGCAGCGTGTGGTGGCAATGCACTTGTTTCTGCGTGTGGATAGCAAGAAAGAGTGTAGCACCTCGTTCTCTCCCTGTTGTATGTCTGTCTGCATGCTGCTGCCACTCTGCCTCCTCGCCATCTCCCCGCATCCTTCACACGCGGAGTTGGGGGCGCCTCTGTTTCCTTCCCACCAAGTTCCCTCCCATCTCTTTTCCCCTTCCCCCAACAGCGTGCGCCTGTGGCAGCTACCAGCACCGGAGATCAAAGAGTTGGGGGTGGCAGGGGGGGACGAGGAGCACGAAGCTGTTGCCACCTTCCAAGGGAAAAACGCCTTCAGGTGAATTTTCTGGTGTCTGCCATGGCATGAGCACAGGTGGACGTGTGACATTCGACAAGTGCACATTCCACATTCCACATTCCACATTCGACTTAGTGTGCACATTCCACATTTCACGCTTCACTTGCTTGTATCGTTGCACATACCCCTCCTGGTGTGCAGAGCAGTGGACCACAAGTGGAAGGAGCGAGTGTTCGCGACAACAGCAGGAGCGCAGGTGGATGTGGAAGCACAGCTGCTCGGAGCCCATAGCCATTCTCTTCTCTCATTCCCCTCTTTCCCCTTGCACGTGTGATGCCCGCTCACAGAGCAGTGGACCACAAGTGGAAAGGGAGGGTGTTTGCAACAGCAGGAGCGCAGGTGGACGTGTGGGAGCACAGTCGCTCGAACCCCACAGCCATCCTCTTCCCTCTGTCCCCTTTGTCACCTTGCATGTATACCGTCCCCGCAGAGCAGTGGACCATAAGTGGAAACGGAGTGTGTTTGCCACAGCAGGCGCGCAGGTGGACGTGTGGGAGCACAGCCGCTCGGACCCCATAGCCATTCTCTCCCCTCTGTCCCCTTGCACGTGTGATGTCCGCTCACAGAGCAGTGGACCACAAGTGGAAGTGGCGGGTGTTTGCCACAGCAGGAGCGCAGGTGGACGTGTGGGAGCACAGCCGCTCCAAGCCATCCCCATTCTCTCCCTTCTTTCTCCTCTTGCCCCGTGCACATGTGATGTGCTCCTTACAGAGCAGTGGACCATAAGTGGAAGGGGCGGGTGTTTGCCACAGCAGGCGCGCAGGTGGACGTGTGGGAGCACAGCCGCTCGGACCCCATAGCCACGTTCACATGGGGCGCTGACTCCGTCTACTCCGTTCGCTTCAACCCTGCCGAGCCTGATGTGTTTGCTACCACCGGCAGGTGAGAGGGAGGGAATGGGGGTGTGGGGGTGTGAGGGTGGGGAGAGCCTGCTACTCTCTTTATGCTTGGACCCATAGCCACGTTCACATGGGGTGGCTGACTCGGTTTACTCTGTTCGCTTCAACCCCGCTGAGCCTGATGTGTTTGCTACCACCGGCAGGTGAGGGCAAGGGAATGGGTGTATGGGGGTGGGGAGATCCTGCTACTCTCTTTACACTCGGACCCCATAGCCACCACTGGCAGGTGAGGGGGGGGTAGTGTGGGTTGAGGAGAATCCACTTTTGGGAGGAGGTGAGAGGAGGACGTTTGTCAAGTCAGGAGAGGTGCAGACGAGCATTCTTGGAACGAGGGAAGGGGGCAGTGGAGAGTGACAAGTTGGTTTTGCAGACAGTGGAGGGTTCTGCGGAGAGTGGGGAGGGGACAGCCATGGCGAAGGCCCATTACGATGTGTGGACAGCCCGACTCGATGATGTGTGCGACAGCAGGGCAGGGCCGGCACATCATCGATTCGGGCTGTCCACACATCGTAATTCAAGAGAGAGTGGTGGTCAGCAGGGCAGGGCCGGCCCGACTTCATTCGGCCGGCCCTGCCCTGCTGACCACCACTCTCTCTTGAATTTTCTCGTCCCTTTTTTTTGCTTTCTTTCTCCTTTCCTTGTTCCCTGTGCCACCCACTTGTGATCATGAGTCGCCTTCCTTTTCCCTCCTCTGCTCCCTATGCCCCCCTCTGCTGTCCACCAGTGATCGCAGCATTTGCCTCTATGACCTCCGCATGTCCACACCACTGAGAAAAGTGATCATGCAGGTGAGGCAAGGGAGGCTGTATGTGGGTGAGAGGCGGGGAGAGTGCTTACTAGTGGGAAGGGAAGGTCCGGGGAAGATTGGTGGCTGAGTATTGCGGTGCGGGGTGGGGGTCGTAGATTGTCCCATAGTATTTCCTCCCTTAGTTGCATCCATGTGTAAAGTCCTCTCTCCATGGGTCAAGTCCAATTTTCTTCTCAACAAAGTCGACTTGCTGACTCTTCTCCCTTCCCCCTATCCCCTACTCCCCCCCTCCGTTCACCTTGCCTCCCCCCCACCATACATACAAATGTGTCTCACTAATGTTCTGCTCCCCATTTTCCCTCTTTCCCCCCCGCATTCCTTCCCCATACTCCTCCTCGTCCCCTACATTACCTCCCGTATTCCTCTCCTCGCCCCCCGCGTTCCCTCACCTGTTCCCCTCCTCCTCCCCCACATTCCCTCCCCTATTTCCCTCCTCCCCGCATTTTCCTTCCCCATTCCCCTCTTCCTCTCCCGCATTCCCTCCCCATTCCCCTCCCTCATTCCGTAGACCAAGACCAACTCGCTGGCTTGGAATCCTCGAGAGCCTCTCAACTTCACTGCGGTGAGTCATGGTATAGGGGGGTGATGTGTGGTGGGGAGGTGATGCATGGTGCGTGGGGTGTACGGTTTGATGATGTTCGCACTCTTCAGACCAAGACCAACTCGCTGGCGTGGAATCCTCACGAGCCTCTCAACTTCACTGCGGTGAGTGTTGTGTGTTGGGGGTTTGGGGGTTGGGAGTTGGGGATGGGTGTTATGGGGTGGGCGGTGATGGGTGTTGAATTGGTGGTGGGGATGGGTGGTTTTGGGGAGGGGTGTTGGGTTTAATGCGAAATATGCAAAGCAAGTGCACGTGCATTCCAGTGTGAGGGTGTGAGAGAACGTGCATTTGCCATCCTCTGCATCCCTGTGCCCCAACACCCTGTTAACTTGTAACTTCCGCCCAGCAAACAGCCACTTTCCTCACCATATGCACCCTCACACTCCTAACGCCCGTTTTTACAATCCCTCACACACTTGCACTCAGATCAAACACACCTGTCCTAAGTGGCAATCTTTCTATTGCCGGCCAAGGCCCACGGTACGCAACACCTCTGGCAGGCGAATGAGAACAGCAGCTGCTACTCACACACATGCGCACGTAACATACTCACACACAACCATTCTCATGCGTTCTTTCTGCCAATCTTTGTGCTTGCTCTCACTATCCCCCACTGCTCTACCCCTCGCAGGGGAATGAGAATGGCTGCTGCTACTCCCACATGCGCAACCTCAGCACTCGGCATACTCACACACAACCATTCTCACGTGTTTTTTTTCTGCCGATCGTGCTGGCTCTCACTGTCCGCCACTTCTCCACCCCTGGCAGGGGAATGAGAACGGCTGCTGCTACTCATACGACATGCGCAAACTCAGCACCGCCTCATTCGTGCACAAGGACCATGTCTCTGCTGTGTGAGTGGCATGGGGCGTGGGGCGTGGGGCGTGGGGCATGGGGCATGGGGCGTGGGGCATGGGGCGTGGGGCATGGGGCATGGGGCTTGGGGCATGGGGCATGGGGCATGGGGCATGGGGCATGGGGCATGGGGCATGGGGCATGGGGCATGGGGCATGGGGCATGGGGCATAAGTGTGTGCATCCAGCTGTGTCCTCCTCAGCACTGCCTCGTTCGTGCACAAGGACCATGTCTCCGCTGTGTGAGTGGCTATCTGTTGAATGGGGGGGCGTGACATGATTACGTGTAAGTAAGAATCTGCAAGCAACCTCAGCACTGCCTCACTCGTGCACTAGGACCATGTCTCCGCTGTGTGAGTGGCTTTCTGGGGATTGGGGGGGCGACAGGGCATGACATGAGTACATGTCATGAGTGTAAGTAACAATCTGCAAGCAACCTCAGCACGGGGGTGAGTGGTAGCACGGGGGTGAGTGGTGGCAGGGGGGTGAGTGGTAGCAGGGGGGTGAGTGGTAGCAGGGGGGTGAGTGGTAGCAGGGGGGTGAGTGGTAGCAGGGGGGTGAGTGGTAGCATGGGGGTGAGTGGTAGCATGGGGGTGAGTGGTAGCATGGGGGTGAGTGGTAGCATGGGGGTGAGTGGTAGCAGGGGGGTGAGTGGTAGCAGGGGGGTGAGTGGTAGCATGGGGGTGAGTGGTAGCATGGGGGTGAGTGGTAGCATGGGGGTGAGTGGTAGCGTGGGGGTGAGTGGTAGCGTGGGGGTGAGTGGTAGCAGACGACGTGGAGCAGCAGCTGGTGGGCCAGCCACTGCATGGCGGTGAGTGGGACTGCGTGCGTGGCACAAGGACCATGTCTCCGCCGTGTGAGTGGCTCTGCTCTGGTGTGTGACTGGCTGTGCTGTATAATTGGCTGTGTCCCCAACTCACTGAATCTCTCTCGCACAGTCAGCCCCCTCTCTTCGCTGCTCCTTCCTTCCTCATCCCCTTTCCCCATCTCCACCTCAAGCATGTAACTTCCGTTCTTAAATTTGTCCATCCACCCACACCCCACCCCTTTCCCCTACTCCTTCACCAGTATGGACATAGACTATTCGCCAACAGGAAGGGAGTTTGTCACAGGATCATACGACAGAACTGTGAGTGCGCTCACATGCCTTGCACTCACATGCCTTGCACATGCATCTGCTAGTCGTGTTGCTAACCTCCAGCCGTTCCACTTCCCTCCCCTCCCCTCCCCTCCCCTCCCCTCCCCTCCCCTCCCCTCCCCTCCCCTCCCCTCCCCTCCCCTCCCCTCCCCTCCCCTCCCTTATCCTCACCTTGATTCCCCCTCCCTCCCCTCCGCCACCGTTCTGCCCGGCTGCCAGGTGCGAATATTCCAGTATGATGCCATCAAGAGTAGAGAGGTCTACCACACCAAGCGCAATCATCTGCTAACCTTGTTCCGCCTCCCTTTCCCTGCCATCCCCTCCCCTGTCCCCTCCCTTTCCCCCGTCTGGCTACCAGGTGCGAATATTCCCATATGATGCCATCAAGAGTAGAGAGGTCTACCACACCAAGCGCATGCAACGGTAAACACCCCCCTTTGCCACCGTGCCTTTCCCTTGCATCTCCGTGCCTTTGCCGTTTATTTTAATTGCCCTAGACTTGCTGTCAAGGCCTTACCCACTGCTCTTTCTCCTGCCTTCCCTTCCCTTTCCTCTCCCCACCCCCTGGCCGTCCTCCCTTCCTTCCCTTCCCTTCCCTTCCCTTTCCTCTCCCCACCCCCCGGCCGTCCTCCCTTCCCTTCCCTTCCCTTCCCTTCCCTTCCCTTCCCTTCCCTTCCCTTCCCTTCCTCTCCCCACCCCCTGGCCCTCCTCCCTTCCCTTCCCTTCCCTTCCCTTCCCTTCCCTTCCCTTCCCTTCCCTTCCCTTCCCTTCCCTTTCCTCTCCCCACCCCCTCGCCGTCCTTCTGCTGCTATCTTTTTCTTGCAGGGTGTTCTGTGTGCGGTTCAGTGGCGACGCCTCGTACGTGCTGTCAGGCAGTGACAAACATTCTTCTCTTTCCTCCCCCCTCCCTTTCGTTTCTCTGTGCGTCGCAGGGTGTTCTGTGTGCGGTTCAGCGGTGACGGCTCGTACGTGCTGTCGGGCAGTGACGATGCAAACATCCGTCTCTGGAAGGCACAGGCCTCGCAGCAACTGGGCATACAGGTGAGGTGCTGTGGATGATGTGTGTGGTAGATTGGCATGACAGGCGCATACACGCAGCAGCTGGACGTGCAGGCATCACAGCAGTTGGCACGGGCAGTGACGATGCCAACATCCGCCTCTGGAAGGCACAGGCCTCGCAACAACTGGGCGTGCAGTGCAGGTGAGATGTGTGTGCAGGGTGAGCTGCCATGGGTGGTGGTCGTGGTAGGCATGATAGCCGGCATGATGGATGGATATGATAGGCAGGATAGGCAGTGAAAGTGTGCTGGATTTTGCACTACCTCTTACCGCTTGATGCGTGGATGGCAGGTGAAACGGGAGATGCGTGGAGCAGGGAGTATAACGCAGCGCTAGTGGAAAGGCATCAACACACCATCGCTCTCTCTTTCTCTATGCACTCCCCCCTTCTCCTGCTCCTGTCCCACTGCCCCACCATCCCACCATCCCTTTGCCCCTGTGTGCCGCACCGCATTGCAGATGAAACAGGAGAATCACACTGCGGAGTACAATGCAGCACTGATGGATAGGCACCCGCACACCCTTTCACTGCCCCTACATCCATCCCACCATCCCTTTGCCCCTCTGTGTCTCCTGTACCAAATTGCAGGTGAAGCGGGAGAGGCGGAAAGCAGAGTACAATGCAGCACTGGTGGATAGGCACCAACACAACACGCCTTCTACCCCTCTTCCCTCCCGTTTGCCCCTTGATGCGCCACATGGCAGGTGAAGCGGGAGAAGCGCAAGGCAGAGTACAACGCTGCGTTGGTGGAGAGACACCAACACCTGCCTGAGATTCGCCGCATCCACAAGTGTGTGGGGGAAGGGAAGGGGGCGGGGAGGAGGGGTCAAAAGAATGGGGGTAGGGAAAAGAGGAAGGGAAGGGGGGGTAAGTGGGGTAGGAAGGGGAAAGTGGGGAGGAGGAAGAAAAAGCAGGAAAGGTTGGTGGGAATGGGAGAAAGGGGGTGGACATTAGTTTGGGTGCTGAGTACTTGTTCAAATTCCCATTTTCCCAAGTGCTCTCTTCTCCCACGTCTCACATCTTCCTTGTATGTTCCTTCTCTCCCAGGCGCTGGCATATGCCGCAGCATCAAGCTGTGTGCCATCTCACCTCCCACCCACCTCTCACCACTCCCATCTTCCCTCTCACCTCCCGGCTTTTCTGTTCCCTCCCCCAGGCACCGGCACGTGCCGCGGCCCCATCAAGCTGCGGGCCACGATGGTGGCAGCAGAGAAGCGCAAGGAGGAGAACCGGCAGCCACCATGCAATTGTCTAACGTATTTATCCTCGTGTTCCCTCCCCTACGTTCCTTCCCCAGTCACCGGCACGTGCCGCGGCCTATTCACAATGTCATCAAGCTGCGGGCTACAATGGTGGCAGCAGAGAAGCGCAAGGAGGAGAACCGGCAGCCACCATACAATTGTCCAACTTTTTCATCCTTGTGTTCCCACTCCTACATTCCTCCCCCAGCCATCGGCACGTGCCACGGCCCATTCACAATGCCATCAAGCTGCGGGCAACGATGGTGGCAGCAGAGAAGCGCAAGGAGGAGAACCGGCAGCGGTTCAAGAAGAAGAGCAAGGGCGTGGAGAAGAAAGACAATAAGAAGAAGGGCGAGCGAAGGAATAAGATCATTGCAGAGCTGGAGTGAATGTACATTTTACATTTTCGTTCAGTGTTGTATTCACGGCTTCTTAGTCTTCAGAATTTCCTTGGCAGCAGACAGCCACCGTGAAACAAAATGGCGCGGCAAGAAAATAAGTGTGCGAGGGAGAAGGCGACGGCTTGGAGAGACTTTTGAATTTACACGTGATCCCGGAGTGCATCTGCAATCTGGTAGTAAAATGCTACATCCAACAATAAGCATGATCTAACTTCACCACACCTAGAATACTTATTCAGTTGAATCGTACCAAATGTTGTTATCTTCACTGTGAGAAGCTGAATTGAAACTGTGTAAGACTCCAAAACGAGGATGAAAGCGGCGTTCCACCAAATTTGAAACCGTGGTCTGGAGGGAATGACGAACCGCGGTGCTTGCTCGACCCCAATTCCAACGGGCAGTGGTTTTCCCACTACCCCCCTAACGCGACCGCGCCCGATTCCCGCGGTCAGTTTTTCCCATCAATACTGATCTTGTGGTTTTTTACGACTTTTGACATGGCTATCGGTTTCTGCCCGTGGTGACTATTCCAACTGAATTTCGCGACCAATCATTACGCCGCCCAGGGAGCTTTCGGATCAGTCTGGCAGAATGATTACAAGTAGGTTCATTCCTTCGATCACGGAATCACTGTACCTTTTTATCCGGGCGCTCGGCTTTCCCGCCACTCACGTTCGACGCGTGGCCCGTGAACAACACGTGAAACACTTCAAACTTTCCAAACCGCTCAATCTCGCGCGCGGAGCGAAGTTGACGCCAGAACTTTCACACCCGCCACTGTCGTTGCACCAGAGAGGTCTCACTAACGCCCCGTGAAGCACTGCTGGATGTCCAAATCGCTGCCACTGTCGAGCGCGCTCAGTTTCCCGCCGAGGAAATTGCATCGGCCCCACCTTTCGCCCCCGAATCAACTGCTGTTCAGTCATCAACGTACAGTTGTGGCCATACTGTACCATCGTCAAGAGCAGCTTAGGGGGTGGGTTTCTAAGTTGTATGCGAGTACCCTCCATTGGCATCAGATGTGACGATATACTTTCAACACCCAGCAGCAACCATGTCGGAACCAACTGACCGCGCCGAGCGTATAGCGAATAGTATCTTAGAGGCAATGCGAAACGTCCCCCCCGTTCCGGAAGCACAACCAAGAGCCCCTAGAGATTATGCCCCACTGACACAAGGTGCAATATACTTCTCGAGGGGTGCGGCTCTAAAGGCGGTGCAAGCCTTCGCGTTGCGGCATCGTTTTGGATTCGGGACTGTCGAGGTGGCGGATGCCCACGTGATCCTCCAATGCAAAACCGCCATGCATGGAGTCAAGCCCATCTGCCCTTGGGAATGCAGTTACAGTAAGATTGTACGTGGCGGATTCTTGGAAGTGACGTCGCTTTCCCCCCCTGAAGCTCACATCTGCCGCAAATTCATGCGAGAGCAAGGAGCAAACGCCATCGCCAACAGCATCAAGGTCATGAAGCGTCAATGGGGCAACCTTGTTCGTGGCGCACCTTTCATTTCGGCGAAGACCTTGCAGCAGATTCTCTCGGCCCACAGCAAGTTTGTCATCAGTTACAAGCAGGCGTGGCGGCTGCGTGAGGCAATCCAGAAGGAAATGTACGGGGATTGGCAGGAGTCGTTCAGGTTGCTACCGGAGTTGGCTCGCAGGTTCGAGAAGAACGATCCGTGTGGAAAGTTCAAGATTCAGACGGTCGACGGATGCTTCCACCGGATGTACATTCAGCCGTCCGCATCCCGCGGTGCGCTTGGTTTTTGCCGCCCCGTTGTTGCACTAGACGGGACCTTCCTAATCAGCGCTCAACGCGCAACCCTGCTCATTGCCGTGGTCCTCGACGGTAACCAGAAGATTCTGATGCTGGCGTGGGCTCTGGTCGAAGGAGAGAACAAAGATTCGTGGTCCTGGTTCCTGCAACACTTTCTGGAGAGCTTCCCGGAGTGGCCGCACCGTGACGATGCATCTATTATCAGCGATCGCGACAAGGGCCTGTTTCCTGCTGCACGAGATGTACTTCCGGCTGGCATACCGCATTACTTTTGTGCTTGGCATCTCCATCAGAATGTTGTGAAATTTGGAGAGGCTGCTGCTCTTTTCTATTGGCGTCTTGTGAAGTGCAGGGACTTTGACAAATGGGATGCATTGGTTGCAGCAGGCCGCCGTGACTTCAAGGAAATGATCAACTATCTACTCGGGGTCGAGAAGCCGAACTCGGGTCCAGCTCCGACAGATGCTGCAGAGCAGCAACGTCCCGCTCCCACAACAGCGGCTGAAGCACGTCAACAAGCTGCAGAGAACCGCCGCCAGGGTCGTGCAGCAGCGCGTGCCGCCAAGGGTTTGGGGACCACATCACGTGCGCATGGTCGTGGGGCGGGTGTCGCGAGCGGGCCGGCTGCCCCATCTCCTGAACCACAGCCTGCACCAACCGCAAGCACATCTGCCCCGACGGCTGCGCCGGCTGAGCCCCCGGCCACAACCGAGCCGCCCAGTCGTCCCTCAGGCTCGACGACTGCAGCCTCACGACCCTTCGACTATGCTCGCATCGCGCGACTCGTAAGGACAGGTTACATCCCCAGCAGCATCCGGACGGACCCGCCAAGTGCAACAGGATCAAGCGGGCACTCGGGCCAGGGGGGAGAGGAGCAGGCTGGGGGAAATACCTGCCAGGCACTGGTCGTTGTCACTCTGGACCACCCGTGGCCGGATGTCGGTAGTGGTCCCCCCCGTGTGAGGGTTGAAGCCGACATTGAGGAGGACGAAGAGGAGGAGGCTAATGCAGAGGAGGCAGAGGCAGATGATGCGGCTGATCCAGCGGCAACAGAGAGGAACCAGGCGGGGGCAGACGAGGACGCCGAAGATAACACGCCTGAGGCCGGTGTCTCGGAAGGGGACCATACTGCACGCGTGAGGACAGGGTTTAGGCAGAACAAGCGTGGTACGAGGAAGAAGCTGGGCATCAACCTCGTCCACTGGACACGCATTAAGGCCCCAACCCGTCGCTTTGGGATCTTTACGAGCAATGCAGCAGAGCAGGTCAACAGCTCAATCGTGCCCATTCGTCGCTTTCCGGTCACCCCTCTACTCGGGGGTCTCTGGGACTGGTATCGGGATAAGTATTGTGAACGCAAAATGGCTGCGCGGGAGAGAACTGCTATACTCACGGAAGCAGCAGAGGAGCGGATGGTGCAGAAGGAGACCCGGGCGGAGGGGTACGAGCTACTGGGCGGGGATCTTGAGAAAGGAACCATCCAGACCAGGGACACCGACGATCCCAAGGAATGGAGGTCCTTCAACGTCAACATCAACAGTGAAGTGAGGACCTGCGACTGCTCAAACTGGGACCAGTACCAGTTTCCTTGCTCCCATGCCGTTGCCTTTGCTCTGAAACGAAAACTAGACCCGCGCACCCTCGTTTCCGACTTCTACACCACGAAGAATTGGGCGGAGACGTATTCTTCAACGGTGCGGGGTTCCTGCGTGGACCGCATCGTCCTTGGGAGGAAGCTGGCCGCACCAGGCGAGTGCGAAGCTCCACCCTTTCGGCGCACGGCACCCTACACATCGCCAGCACCCATGGTGGGGTGCGTGGCACGAGTCAAAGGACTCCGCAAACTTATTGCGGAGGGTTGACTAGGGAATCGCGAGGGCCTAATAAACTGCTGTACTATTCGGGGCAAGATGTGGCCCGTGAGATTACGTGTGCTAGAGAGAGCATTCACAAAGATTTCGATCGCGCGTGACAACCCCCACAGCAATCTCTCATTGGGAGTATCCATGTGATAAGGCAAGAACGAAATGGTTGACAACGTCCTCACTGTTTGCTCACGGTTTTGTGACAGTTTTGGTACGGCCTCGGTGTGACAATTCAGACAATGTTTTCAATGTTTGCCCACGGGTCGTTGACTACCATCTGTGCATGCGAATAGTAGGGATATGTGGATTCACATAAGCTAGTAGATTGTTGCCAAACAGTCGCTTGGATTTCACAGTCGCTTCCAGGACGACTGATGGTCTTCCTCCATGTTTCTGGCTATTACTAATATTATTAAGAAGGCTATTACATGTTGTGCTGGTGTGGCATATCTAAACTAATACTAAGACTCCGGACGAGGACAACGTGTTCCTACACCCACCACTACATCATCTACTCTAACCCATGTCGAAACTACCCTAACTTATTGACTCCACACAAATCTCAAATGGTGCCCGCAAAAGGTGCTGACTCGCGATAGGACTTTCGCCCCTTTGGGCGCTTACGGTACCTCCTCCTCTCCGGGTATGCGCTGCCACCATACTTGCCCATGCAGCGGTTCTTAGTGTGACCGTGGAGATGGCAAACGCTGCACTTGTACGGATGCACAGCCTTCTCGACGCGTGCGTAGCTCGGCGGGCGGTTGTGTCACAGTGAAGTGCTCGTGGGAAACCGCGTGCAGGTCTCTAGATTGTGTCTGTGAACCGCAGCGTGAAATTCTCGTGAAGTGCTAGTGAATCTCCCGCCATGGCATTCCATTGGCTAACACATCCAATAGTCAACCAACCTTGACCTCGTCGGTAGCTCGCGAAAAACCCGTGATGCCTCAACTGATAAATAACACGCACGCGCTTGCGACTAACCGCCGTTGGAAATTTAGTACACCCTCAATGAAGCCGTTGCGAGCTGATACAATTTAGAGTCCAGAGAATCGCGTGTGGATACTAACTGACACAATACTCCACACATAAACGTATGAACAAACTAACACCGGTACAACCCTAACTCCATGTGCACCAGTGCTTTATTAATATGTAATCATGTGTCCAAGAACAACAGTGCTACGTTCCGTGCTGCCTGTAACCAACACAGGCTATGACACATTACTTTAACCTAACACCAGCAAAAACCAACGGCGCTACATATGAGTGTGATGTGGAAAGCCAAGCAATCCCTCGGCATGCCACGCTCTAACACACCACAAGGCAAAGGCAGTTCGGCCGGCGGTCTAGGAAAGTCAGCACAGCCCAAAAACCAGACAGAGCACCTCCCGTCTAAAGGCCGTCGGCTACACCTTTGTCTGTCTCCTTCGCTTGGAGCTGCGACGACACGGCGGCTGAGCCGAGGTTTGCGGATCTACCGACACCGTATCAACCGCCCTTCCTTTCTCCATCAAAGTCTTGCATTCCGCCCAGGCCTCCCTCCAGTTCTCCCACCGGTGCCAGAACTTGTTCCGGATCAGGGCAAGGCATACGTCCTTAGGACAGTCCTTCAACCTGTCCTTATCTTCAACAGACAGACCTATCACTCTCCCACGAGGTCCCCTGTGCGGCCCAAACAGCACATGTGATCCAGCGGCCAGTGATCTCGCGGCTTCCTCCTCATCTCCGAACTGGCTGCCAATAACGGTGTGCCCGTCTTTCTTCCGCTCGCAGACCAGTCTAGCAACCCATCGCCCATTCCAGGGCCGTAGGGTAATACCCACGAATCTCCCCTTGATTTCCTTGGCCTTATTTCTCGAAGACTGCCTCGCCTGCTCCTGCGGTGACGGAGAGCCGCCTCCGACGACCTCGGGCCGGTCTTCCACGACCAAGGGCGTATCAGGCGCGCGTTCAGAACCGCTCGTCGGCTGAAGCGCTGACACGGCCGTGGCCATGGTGTCGCATATGTCATGCGTCTTCACGATCCACTGCTTCATGGTTTCCATGCCGCCTTCTACGTCGGCGAGACGACTAGCCTGGGTCCGTAATTCAGAGGCCAGGTCCCTCATCGCCGAAATGCTGTCCACGATGGGCTGCACCCTGTGGTGCGACTCATTTCCCGGCGCCGGTCGGTCAAATGCCGGTAGTGTCACCGTTTTGTTGTGCAGCTTCGCGGCTAGCGTTTGCTCGCCAGCATCACACATCAAGGCTCTGATGGCGCGCTGGTAGGTAACAATGCGGTACGAGGGTGATGGGATGCCCTGCACAAGGTTCCTGAATGACCGGGCCGCAAGCTCGGACACGCAAACGCACACGAGTACGCCAGAGTCAACGTTGTAGTCCTGTTGCGGTACTTGGCTGGCCTGGACAGGTTAACAATACCATAAGATTGTTAATTAACGGATGGTTGGGCAAGCTGAGTCATCCATCGAGTATCGCATAGATAAACATATGCAATATGCCGGTCACTTACACGCAGTGCCCGGCAGCGTGGGCGACGGAGACGATTGGTCACATCCGACGCAGGGAGCCCCGGCCTCGCCTGCGTCAGCGCCGCACCCAAAAGCCTGCAGTCACGTGCTATGTCACACAATGACACATGGTCTTTGGAGTCCCAGCAAGTGTGCAAATGGCATAAAACACACTATGGCGGGGTCATCTGGTCTCACCAGTTTACGGTTCGGAAGACGGTGTGTGACCCGGCGACGTGATACCCAGTAGAATCGAAGAGCACAACCTGTGGCCCCTCAGCGCCCAGCACTTCAAGCTCCTCATCAGTCTTCAGCAGCAACCCCGGATCCTTCACAACGATCAGGCTTGCGTGTTTGGGCCCAGGGTTCCGCAGACACCTGGTCAAGCCATTGAAACATTGTGAGCCAACATTTATACCGTATTGTTCCGGCACCGCTGAACCACGCCTACTTACTGAGTTACTGCCACTATGCATACGTAGTCGAACTCGAACAGGGTATCGCTCTTGATGCCGCAGCAAAGATGCTCGTTAACAGCCGCCCGGTACGCAGAGGATGGCAGTGCCACCCACGAGCTCCCCGATGGTAGTTGCGGGTGCAAGATACTCAGAACGCTGCGCAAAACATGTTATGTACATAAGCACCGAATGTTTATGGTTAAAAACGACGTTTGTAAGCTGGCCCATAACTCACACGTTGTGGAAGTCGATCGTTGTTGCCGGAATCTCACACCCGTCCCGAATCCCAAGAGCATCAACCATCTGCACGTTCGCGCTCTGCCCAAGGTGATTCGTGATCGCCGGTGTTGGAAAGTATTCGCTAGTCAATGTGGGCGGAAGTAGACCGCCACCCTCAGACGGCCCAGGCACTGATTTCGCGAAAAGGGACACTATGTCGTCGGGTTCCGGTGGGCTCTCATCGACGTCAACCGTCACGGGAACCTCGAACTTAATAACACGCGATGACGATTTCTTGGACGATTCTGCATCACTCCTCGCCCGACCCAACCGCGGGCTTTTCCGCGACGTCATACTAAGGACTACTAGGGAGCTTGACCCGATGTCACCTGGCAATGTGAAGTTATGTACTCGTCGCTATGCCTTGCAGTCTAACAAGGAGGGGTGTTGACGCGATAGGTGCAAGCGTCCTTGTGCAAGTGATGTGACAAATGACGGGACGTCCACCTGTTGTTTGTGATGCGTAAGGACTGTCACTGTCCCCTATTGAGCGGTGGGTCACGCCGATATCCGGTGAGAACCGAGGTGCAGTTGTTATCTCTTTCATGCGGGATTGACAATGAATTACACGCGGGAAACAAGGGTAAACTGAAACACGGGTACAGTTAATCTGTACCCGTCACTGCACGCGTCGCTATTCTTGGCAGGCGTCCGTCACGACATATGACTGTAGTTTGCTCTCGTGAAACAGGCTAAATCCTACACAAGCTTTGACACGATGTATGGTAAGGACGTTATTCCTGATAGTGCAATGGAATGAAACATGACTTGTGTATGGCCCGACAGTCTAAGTCCCCGGAAGTATTAGCGGGATCGAGTAAGTGTTGGATAAACGTGGCGATTTATGTTGGCGAATGAGGGTGTTGGCGACCGAGGAGGTTAAAATACTAGGTTGTCCAAGTAGTGTTGTAATATAATTGGTCGTTACGGGTGGATACAATTTATGTACATATCGCACGTACGAGCATTTTATGGAAAGTGGTGTGAGGGACTAGGCATCATAGAGGCAACAAAGGTTGAGTGCCACGTGGCACTAGGCAGTCTCGGCCCACATGGATTTATTGGATTGCGAAGTTGCTAGACATGATTGAACTATCAACGATTACAGCGCAAAGCTGAAACCCTAAGTCCTGTACCCTAAGTGGCTACACCCACACTTGCCTACTAATATCGACAGTGTTTTCAATTGGATGCGTTGTTAACGTACTGTGCAAATAAGAAGAGTAAATCCCCCATGTGTTCCCGCGCCACGGGGTTTGTGCTCCGATGCAATAATGGAATGTACTCCATAGAGTTCCTGGCTAGTCTTGGTCGTTTTGCATCCAAGACTGTTGCTATGTAAACTACGTGTAAGCATGCGTTTATCAATCTCAATCATTTACATTCACTTTGACCTGAGTTCACAATTTCCGCTGCGAAACAAGCTGCGATCAACTCAGAACGGTCCTGTTCGCTAAATCACACTTCAAAATTGTAACACCTTCTCTAACCAGCCTTTGCCGATCGTAGTTGTCGTCTCAATTGCCGCCGCCGAGTTCGTTTGTCCAACGGCCAGCCTGGTCGTAGATCGCCTGCTGCCTGCAAGATCTTGTTTTGGCGCTGTCAACGAATGTGACGTTGCGCAAATTCCCTGAGACACTGTCGTACCATGGTAAAATTTGAAGTGTGATATTGCAAGGAAAGGATCGTTCAGGGTGGATCGCTTATGGGCTTCAGGCGGAAGTAATACACTCTGGTAATACCAAATGCGAAGGACGGTATCTGTTACTCGCATGCATATATAGGGATTGTATCGTAACACAGATCACCTGGTCACTCACCAGGTCAGTCTTTCCAAAACAAGTAGGTTGGATTATTTTCCTTTGTAGTAGTTCTGCGACGGTTTGTGACACATGTATATGCTTTGGGAGGGCAGCCGGTAATATCGCGGGAGGTCTAAACCGAACACTTCATGGCTGGCAACTTCGCGATGGTGACATGCCAGTGACAGCTCCGTGGTGCCCGACCTAGTGTACTGTATTCCAGTTTCCGTCATGTGAATGTCCTGTAAGGACCACACTTGTCATGCACTGTTTGGGCACTTGGTCCTTACTATGGTTTGACCCGCGTCATTCCGTTTCGCGTCGGATTGACGAGACTTTGGCGAAAAAATCAAGATGCACCCACTTCTCGCACGCCCTTGTTAAGTGGGTTCTACACCAGTGTGGTGGATCCCTTGTGAACATGTCGTGCGTACCGTGTGGATATTTACCCTAGTGTCTTACTGGGGGGTTCTTTTTTTGGGGTTGCCCCATGAGCACTATATTCGGCAAGACAACGGGAATTGTGTAGCTTCCCCGTAACTCGTGTTTCAATGCAATGTGATAGTATGGGTTTCGTATTGACCGGCCTGCACAGTTGCGTGTAGTGCAGACGTTCGGAAATTCCAAATGTTCCGCCACGGCTCTTTCTAGAGATTCACGAGTGTTTCACTTATACGAGGCGAGCGTACAGTGAGTACACACTTCGGTAAGAAGGCTGCATGGCTGGTGCCACGTGGGATGTCTACGGAATGTATACTGCGCTTTTGCGGGTTGTTGATCTGTTGTTGGCGAGTATCGCGTCAGGCATTTACATGGACATGCCAGTAGCTCCACTCTCCTCTGACTAGGGGCTGACGGAACGCACATTGCTGCATTGCGCTACTCACGTAAGGGTGTTGCCCTACACCTTCTGGCCTTTACTCTCGCTTCGCTACAATGTGATGTATCGGAAAGAAAGCCATTGTTGAGGTTCTCAGTTGCATAGCAGTCACCATTTCACATAGGCACACTAGGCTAGATGATGACGATTCAAAAACACATGCAATGAAACACGCAGAGGTTTATCCGACGATTAGAGAAGTCAGATGCATGCGGAAAGACTAAGAGTGTCCCAAAACACACCCGCTTCCATTCATTGAGACCTAAACTATGGATCCTGTGTTCCCGACCCCACCCGGCGAGACGCAGTCTCACCCCCGGCGATTCCTTCAGCTTCACCTCGTGCCCTTTTGTTGGCCCGACCATCATCATCCCCCAAGCTGGCCGTTATTGCAGCTTGCTTTTCCTGGATTTTGCGCATTTTCGCGTCCCACTTAGCCTTCGCAGCAGGCCAATAATTCCTCCACTCCTCCCACATGTGCCAGAACTTCATCCGGACCATCACCTCACACTGGTGCGGCGTGCACCCTCTGAGCTTCTCCTTGTCGGCGGCTGTCAAGGGAATGAGGTCCCCACGCGTTGGCTTGTCAACGAACATCACGTGCGAGGCAGCTGCGATTGACCTTGCCGCCTCATCCTCTGATTCAAAGTGGCTGTTGATGACGATTAGCGACGTTGATGCACGGTCTAGGATTATCCTACCGATCCACTCATCCTTGTCCAGCTTCTTTGTGACGCCCGTCCACCCCTTGGTGCTGGGCACCTCACCGTTCATCGCTCCCTGAGCCGTGGGAACCATAGATGATGATGCCGCCGGCGATGGCAGTACGTGTCGGGACCCCTGCATGAAACCAGCGTTAATGGTTGAGAAGCCCAAACCACGAGACTCGGACGCTTGACCACGGTGGCAGCTGGTATTGTCGAGCACCTCGTCAGTGGCGAGGAATGCATCAGGCTCTTGCCGCGTGGGACGAAGGGTCGTCAGTGGCAGTTGTGCGAAGTCGTTTGGCTGCCCAGCACCGGGGTGAACAGCGTTGGGAGGTTGCTGTGCATGGCCAATCGGCCATGAATGTGCGGCGGATGCTGAGCCGGCCGGCGGAACAGCAGCAGCCTGCTGCGCAAACCCCACCGCAGCAGGGGCGCGTACACCATGCATATGCGCCCCAGGGGGAAAGGCAGAGGGGGTGAAGAAAGGTTCCCCCGATGACCATACAGACGAACCCCTATGAGGAGCCGCAGTGTCAGCCTGCGCATCCAACCGGTGAGCACCCTGTACCTGCACACCTCGCTGAAACATGGTGAGCTCCGTCGGGGGTTCCACTAGGTCCCATGCATCGTTTCTGGGCTGGACCACAGCTGCTACGATAGGCCGCACAATTTGTGATTGAGCCCGTGCCTCTACGCCTGTGGGCCACACAGTCGGGCCGGGCGGGTATGACACTGGATCCGTCGCGGTCGCGTATTTCTGCGCATGAGCCGGCGTTGGTGCTACGCCGACAGAACCTGTCTGTGCTGCGGCCGCTGACTGAGCACCATGGCCTGCATGAGGCTGAACACGCACTGATCCACCTGGCGGTCCCGCGGCAGTTGCTGGAAGGTTGGCCGCTCCACCCCCTAAACTCCCGGCTCCATCAGGAACCCCGCCTGCTGCCGTTGCGTGCCCCGCCGATGTTGATGGTACACCAGTTGCTGGACCTGCCTGACCCGCGGCTGCACCTGTCTGACCAGTGGCTGCGGCTGCAATCCCGGCCGAGGCACCTGGCTGGCGCAGAGCACCATCCGGAGCCGCTGAAGCGCGCAGAGATCCGTCACCGAATCCTGGCATGCCACATGCAGCCGTAGTAGCACATGCTGGAGGAACCGCCTGACCATGCATGGTGCGAGAAGGGACGGCCGGGAGACCATGCGTCGCACGCGCATGTGACGCGCCGCAGGCGGAAGCGTGGGGATCAGCGCCCCTGTTCGCGGGAGCTTCAGTTGTTGTTCCGGCCACGCGCTGGGGCGGAGGGGCTGCAGCGGTGGAGGCGGTGGGGTTGTCGTTGTCCAGATCCTCAAGGCCACTCGTCGGCAGTTTGAACCCGATCTTGGCGGCCAGCTGCTGGAAGGCCGTGACGAGTGACGACAGCGACATAGTCACTTTGTCGAGCCCCTGTTCTCCCTTGTGAACGGCGTCCTTGAGAGCATCCATGTCTTCATGCAGGTTCTTGAGCTGAGCAGCATGGGAACACTGCTCCGCGGCTACATCTTGAATGGTTGGCTCCTTTATCTCAACAACTCCCTGGTCGCTATCGCTATCTTCCCCCCCGTGCTGATCACTCTGTTGGGGAATGTCGGCCCCCTTTAGTTGTAGCGATTCTAGCAGTGATCCTTCACCGGCCTCGCACATCAGAGCACGAATTTCGCGCCTGCATTGCAAGGCACTGTAACGTGGATGGGCGATCCCGTCTTCCATGAACTGGAAAGCTCGACCCACAAGCTCCTTCTCGAACATACAGACGTAGACACCGCAGTCCACCCCGTTCTGTTGCTGGGCCACCTCGAAGTACTGCAGGTCCAGAAATTACAGAAGTAGTGAAAACTGTCAATACAAGAACCCGAAACCGAGACATGCACTTCACTGGCATCTGGACGGCAAACAGAGTCTGTTGAGATACTTACTTCAAGCGCACGGCTGCTCACGCGTGAAACCCTTTCTGTCACAACCACCCATGGCATGTCAGGGTTGGCCTTCTTAAGGGCCCTCATAAGCAGCCTGCGGAAGCACAAAGTGGAAAAGGGGATTACGATACCGAGGATTAGAATCACGGGCAAAGGTACCGGCGACAAACCCCAATGGTATAAGCATCACGCTAAACTCACTCGTTGATGTTTGTGAAGATTGCCGTGCACATGTCGAAGTGCACGCGCGCTGAATCGTACAGTACTGCCTTTACTTCTGATGGTGGCGTCAGGGCATCGTATTCCTCCTTGGTAAGCATCAGCAGCCGGGGGTCCTTGACAACAACCAGGCTGAAGTGTTGAACTGGTACTCTGCATAAAACTACGGAGCAAAAGGGAGGTTGTGTTATGCATGCTACGGATCGGAACTCCAGGTTGTAGAAGACGAAGTCTATGCCATCCGTAATCTTCTGGAAACTTACTTGGTGAACACAACGATGAAAAGATAGTCGTGCTCGAAGAGAAGTTTGCAATCGACGCCGCATGCTAGCTCCTGCCCCTCGGTGACGCTTTGATAGGCGAGGGTGTCAAGAGCCAACCAAGTTTTCCCGTCAGGCAACTTCTTGTAAAGTAGACTCAAAACCCTGGAAGAATCCAAACAAGGCACGGCATGAACAAGATGAACAGGTATAAGTACATCAGTGCAAACGTTGAACGTGACTCACACGTTGTAAAAGTCGATGATAGACGTTGTCAGCTCGTGTCCATCCTGTATGTGGAGAGCATCCATGATGGTGACCGTCGCTCGCTGGTCGTGATGGTTTTTGATCTGACGGGAAGGGAAGTGGTCACTTTTGACCGACTTTGGTAGCTTCTCGGTCGCCGTGTCAGGAACTCTGACCCCTTTAGCGAACCTCGATATAATGTCGTCTGGCTCGGGCAGCACGTGCACGCTTTCAACTTTAAGGGGAACCTTGAATTCAGGGCACGGAGCCTGCTTACTACCGCTCGCTTCCTGCCTGTTACGGTTCGTTCGTTTCGCCCGCGCGACGGGTTGCTGGCTACTTGCGGCTAGTTGGCCCTTGTTGCGTGCGGAGAGCCTGGTCTGCGTCATGGTACTTTGACCCACTGATTAGTGCGTGAGTACAAGGAGCGGAGGATGGTTAGAGCAAGAAAGGAGAACCCTATGCTACGCTAATAGACTACGATGAATCTGAAATAGGCGCAACAATGGTGACCTCTCAATTACGGCAAAACTCATGGCTCACGAGATGGTGGAAATGGTGACTGGGTGCTTACGAGATGTTGACGGGGGGAAACAGTGGAGGAGTAAAGACGAGGGAAGAACGGACTGTTGCTGGCGTGCATGCAACGGTGCTTAACCCGCGAAATGAAGTCCGATGTGGCATGCTGTGATTGAATGTAACTCTGACATTGAATGTTCTCGACTGACCAGCGATGGAAATCCGTGCACGCGTGCTCAGGAAGATATTTCGCGCTGACGTTCATGATTGCCGCCGCTACATTTACAGCGGTGGTGGACAGGGCACATAACATGCCAAAGATGTAATGATTGTGCAGCATTGACAAAGAAAATCACGCCTGCCCACGATATCACTGAAAGTGTAGAAAAATGAGTTTTGATGGGAAAAACTGACCGCGGGAATCGGGCGCGGTCGCGTTAGGGGGGTAGTGGGAAAACCACTGCCCGTTGGAATTGGGGTCGAGCAAGCACCGCGGTTCGTCATTCCCTCCGTGGTCTGTCTGACACGAGCACAGAACCTCGGAAACAACGAATGGTGATGGCGCCTCGGGTCATGACATGAGCCATTCTCGATGCACAAGTGTGATTGGCTGTAAAGTAAGAACCAATCCATACCATCAACATTATGTCATTGTCAATCCCGCACAGATGTGCTCAGCCGTCCGATCATCCTGGATATTACTCTAAAGTCACCTTAGGGAACCTGAGCCTGTCACCTTAGATCCTCCCAAATATTACTCTTAGGTCACCTTAGGGAACCTGAGCCTTGGCTTGCCTTGTCATGACCGTCGCCTTCGCGGTCCGTCGCGGGACCGCGGGGCGTCAGTCGATTAACTCGCTCACGAAAAGCATTTCGAATCTCGGCGGGTTCCGTTTTCCCGAGGTGATTAAAAGTTACCTAGACATCTCTTCGCCACTTTATACAAGAACTTCGGAAGAGGATTGTAACGGGGATACACGGTTGCTGCCGGCGTACGGTGCAGATTCGCCGATCCGCGAGGATCTCGCTCGAGATGCTCACCCTCGCTTCTGTCACTCGCAATCGCATACACGCAAGAAGCACTTATCCGCGATAGAGTATCGCTCGTTTAAGTCACGGACGGATTGGCGGGCTGTTCACAGCGGGGATGGCGGAAGCAGTGGGGGGAACAGTAGCGGTCGGAACGTGACGGTTCCGCGCACACCTCAACAGTACTTTGACCTGCTGTGCTCAGGTAACACCTCCCCCTGCTGTGCTGAGTTAACACCTCCCCCTGTTGTGCTCAGGCAACAGCTTTCCCTGCTGTCCTCATGTAACACCTCCCCCTGCGCTACTCAGAAAATCCTTCCCCTGCTGAGCTCTGGTAACACCTCCCTCTGCTGTGCTTCTACCTCGTTGCCTTCCTGGCCTACTCTCCCTCCTCCCTCAGGGCAACCCGTCAAGGTGTGTGAAGCAGGGGGAGCAGGCAGGGCGTCGGTGGCACCAAGGGAGAGAATAACAGAGGATGATTCAGCTTTCAGCCTTCAGCCGTCGGAGAATGCAGTGTAAGCCTTCGCTCATTCCCCACCAATCCCTTAAATCTCTCCCCTCCTTCTTTCTGCAGGCCACCCCTTCAAGCTGTGTGAAGCAGGGGGGGCGGGCAGGGCGTTGGTGGCAACAAGGCGGATAGCGGAGAGGGAAGTGGTGCTGGCAACCACTCCTGTTGTGTCACACCCCACACTGGAACACGTTGGTAAGGTGGGCGAGCTTGGACAGGCCATCACAGTGGTTTATTTTTATTGCTCTTAATATAAATAATAATACTAATAATAATCATTATCATTGGCCGTTGATCTTTTGGGCCACACGTCATGGAACCTGTTGGCAAGGTGGGCAAGGTGGACAGCCCTGTAAAAAGCCCCTGTGACAACGGCACTTCTTTCAGGGCCATCACAGGGGCTAATTGGGCACACACCACCTTCTTATGGGCCACCCTTGGCGTATTTCCGCCTTTCCTAGTATTTTTGGCTCACCTTTGAGAGTTCGTGTCTTATTCTCCCTCTGTCACAATCATCCTTACCATTTCCACATTATATTGGCACTCGCTGTCACACTTCCACCACATTCCCACCACACTCCCACCACACCCCCCCCACAAACTCTTTCTCTTTTCAGGTGTGCTACTTGTGTCTTGGGCCGCTGGCAGCAAAGCAAAGCGTGGGGGGTAGGGGAGGCGGAGGAGGAGAAGGGGATCAAAGGGAGTGTGGCGGAGAGAGGAGGGGGGACGAAGGAGGTGACTATAACGAGCGGTTGTTCTGCAGTAAAGCGTGTGCTGATGTGGCATGGGTAAGTGTACCCTCAACGTGTAGGCCACACACACACGCACACACGAGGGCAAGCGCACTCGATGCATTCTGTTTGGCACTCAGAACAAACACACCTGACCAACACATTATGGTGCCTCCCTTGTCATCCCCTTCCCTCACTTGTCAAACCTCACCTTTCTGGCAGCATGACTTCTATGCCGTGGAGAGCGCAGCTGATTGGTCCAACCTGCATCAACACTGTAGGTGAGTGAGCATCGAATCGAAACGCTTAGCTTGCATCATACTGCCTGCCGCTTGTTAGAATTATATATATTGTAGCATGCTAAGCACATGTGACTGTACACCAATTGTGGTGTACAGTTGGGTTGGGACTACACCCAACATTGGGTGTAGCCTTGCACTTTGGGGTGCCAATCCACCCAATTGTGGTGGAGCCCCCAAATTGCAACCCTCTTGACTTTTTGGGTACCTCACTTCACAATTGAGGCCACCACAAGCCAAGTGGGCCTAGGGTTGCCACACTTCTTAGAAGTGTGGGCAACCCAACCCACCCCACCTATGGTTACCTCACTTCCCAAAGTGAGGCCAACCCAACCATAGGTTGGGTTCCTCCTTCCCTTCCAAGCTTCTCTTCCCAAACTATGTATGCTAGGTTTGCTCTCTAATCAAATCACTTGTTCAATTCACATCTTTCACATGGTATAGAGCTAGTTGTTCCTCCTTTCGCCGCCGCGGCCAATTCCGCCGCCGCCGCCTCCTCCCTTCGCCGCCGCGGCCGATTCCGCCGCCGCCGCCTCCTCCCGTCGCCGCCGCGGCCGATTTCGCCGCCGCCGCCTCCTCCCCTCGCCGCCGCGGCCGATTCCGCCGCCGCCGCCTCCTCCCGTCGCCGCCGCGGCCGATTCCGCCGCCGCCGCCTCCTCCCGTCGCCGCCGCGGCCGATTTCGCCGCCGCCGCCTCCTCCCCTCGCCGCCGCGGCCGATTCCGCCGCCGCCGCCTCCTCCCGTCGCCGCCGCGGCCGATTCCGCCGCCGCCGCCTCCTCCCGTCGCCGCCGCGGCCGATTTCGCCGCCGCCGCCGCCTCCCCTCGCCGCCGCGGCCGATTCCGCCGCCGCCGCCTCCTCCCGTCGCCGCCGCGGCCGATTCCGCCGCCGCCGCCTCCCCCCTTCGCCGCCGCGGCCGATTCCGCCGCCGCCGCCTCCCCCCTTCGCCGCCGTGGCTGATTCCGTCGCCGCCACCTCCTCCTCTCGCCGCCGCGGCCGTTTCGCCGCCGCCGCCTCCTCCCGTCGCCGCCGCGGCCACTTCTGCCGCCGCCGCCTCCTCCTCTCGCCCCCGCGGCCGTTTCCGCCGCTGCCGCCTCCTCCCCTCGTCGTCGCCTCTCTCACACCGTCGCCGCCTGCGCCTCCCGCCGCGGCGCTCACATCCTCCCCCTTCCCCTTCTCCCCTCCCCTCCGGCAGTAGCGGCAGCAGCAGCAGCGGCAGCAGCGGCAGCAGCGGCAGCAGCAGCAGCAGCGGCAGCAGCGGCAGCAGCGGCAGCAGCGGCAGCAGCAGCAGCAGCGGCAGCAGCGGCAGCAGCGGCAGCAGCAACAGCAGCAGCAGCAGCAGCAGCCTGAGCACAGCTCCATCCTCCTGCAGCAGCACTTCCCCCCCCCCTTCCCTCTTGGCCGCCGCGGGTCCACCCGCCGTCGCCCTCCTCCTTGACCGCCGCGGGTCCACCCGCCGTCGTCCCCCTCGAGGCCGTCGCGGGTCCACCCGCCGTCGCCCCTCATGGATACCACTCCTCCCCCTCTTCCCCCTCCCATTGACGCCTCCTCCGTCGACAAGCTCCAACTTGCCGCGGACCGCTCGGCGATCAATTGGCACTCCTTCGTCGGGAGCATCCGCCGCGTTCTCCAGGACGCATTCGTCGAACCCTACTGCGTCCTCGACGTCCTCCTCCGCCGCCCGCAAGCTCTCCAGCCCACGGCACCCAGTCACCCCGGCGAACCCCCTCCACCCCCCATTCCCCCTGGCCCTCCTCCTTCTGAACCCACCTTGGAGATCGCCACTACCCCAGCGCTCCAGAGTGCCGCCGACGCCACATTCCTCCATGATCGCCGCGAGTACCTCATCCGCAAGGCAGAGCACGAGGTCGCAGTCCACCATCACGACTTCGCAGTAGCGGAACGCGCCAACCGCCTGGCCCTCCTCGATGAATACAACACGGCCATGGCAGACTACCTCCCCAAGAGTATTGCATGGGCCGCTGCTGACAACCGCGCCTGCACCATCCTCCTCGGCGCACTCCCTGATACCCTCATGCGCCGTTTCCAGGCTCGGGAGATGCGCGCCTCCCTCATCTGGGCCGAGCTCCAGGCAATGTTCGAGCGCCGCGACATCAGCTCTGTCGGCGCCCTGTTCCAGGAGTACTTCTCCATCACCCTCGCTACCTGTGACGGCGCAGTTGACTACGTGGGGCGCATGCAGGAGGTCGCTGACCGCCTTGCTGCACGCCAAGCTGCCCTCCCCGAGCCACTGCAAATCCACCGCCTCCTCTACAACCTCACCCCGGACTACGAGTCCCGCCTCCATGCCTTCACTGAAGCGAACGCCATGGCCGGCCTCAACGACGTGGTCCAATGGATCATCGACACGGAGGTCAAGCTCCGCACCCCCGTTGTCAACCTCACCACCCCTCAGCCCTCCTCCTCCAGCTCCCTCAATGCTACGCAGCCGCGCAACCAGGGTGGTCGCAGCGGTGGCGGTGGAGGCCGTGGAGCGGGTGGTGGTGGTGGAGGTCGTGGCGGTAGTGGTGGTGGTGGCGGTAGCCGTGGTGGCCGTGGTGGCGGTGGTGGTGGTGCTGGAGGACCGTCCGGTGCTAGTGGTGCTGTGACTCGAGGCGCTCGCCCTGGCACTCTCCCCCCATGCACGTATGTGCGCCGCCATGGTCCCCCCAGCACGTGCTTCAAGGCGCTCGACGACGCCTGGTTTGACCGAGGTAACACTGGCACCCCTCCTCGCTGGAACACTGTCACCCCTCGCCCCTCCCTGGTGGATGTTCAAACCCTCCCATCTTTCCTTCCTGCTCACCTCCGCCTGGTTAGCCCCTCCCAGCCTTCCCAGCTGCAGCAATTCCAGTAGCACCAGCAGCAGCAGCATCAGTACTTCCAGCAGCAGCAGCAGCAGCAGCAGCAGCAGCAGCAGCAGCGCAGTTTCTCCAGCCGCAGCAGCCGCCGCCGCCGCATTTCTTCCAACCGCCGCCGCAGCAGCAGCAGCAGTTCCTTCCCCCGTACTGGCAGCAGCAGCCACTGACCTTCGGCACGGCGGCTACGGCCGCCCATGCCTCCCTTGCTCCCCCCCCTCCCTGGGGTTCCCTCCCCTCTGCCCCCCCCAGTGTCCCCGACACTTCGGGCAGTTTCCTCGGTAATGTCAGTATTGCACCATCCGTCGCTTCCATGTATCCCTCTGCTATCAATGAAACTTCTTTCCAGTACCCCGTGTCACCTCCTCCTCCTTCTTCCCCCACCCTGGACTTCGTCCTTGATAGTGGGGCCACTGAAACCGCACTAAAGGACGCAGGTACTCTCACCCCCCTTCCACTTCCCACTCAGGTTCATGGAGCTGATTCCAGTTTTTCCATCCCTTGCACTCATCTCTCCACCCTCCCCTGCACTGCCTTCCCCTCCGGTAAAGTCACAGGCCTCCACATCCCCACTCTCCGCAACAACCTCATCTCCCACCGTGAGCTCCAAGGTGTTGGTATCACTGCCATCTACCCTGGTTATGCCAATTACTGTGACCTCTACCAGACTTCCTCTGGCCGCTTCCTCCTCCGCATCCCACTCTGCCCTCGCACTCGCCTCTACACTCTCCGCACACCTCGCCCATCCTACTGCCACGTCACCACCCGTGCTGGTACTTCCACCGGTCCACCCCCCCTCCTTTACTTCCCCCCTCCCCTCCCCCTCAGGTATCCTCTCCCTCCCCGTCGTCCTCCTCCTCCCCTCCCGTCCCCTCCATCACCCCATCTCCCTCCTCCTCCACTACCCTCTCGCACCCTGCCGTTCTCTTACACCACAGACTCGGCCATCCCAACTTCACCGCCCTTCGCACCACAATCACCTCCCGCCTCCTCCGCAGCCTTCCTCCCGTCTTACCCCCGCTTCCCTCCTCCCCCTCTCCCCCATGCCCTTCATGCATTCACGGCAAGCTCAAGCAGTCACCCCACCACGGTCATCCCACCTTCGCCGCCGCCCCCATCGACCTTGTCCACATGGACCTCTAGGGTCCCTATCCCATCCGCTCCCGCCAGGGGCACCGGTACATGCTCGTCCTCGTTGACGACCACAGCCGGTACTCCACCACCTTCTTTCTTCATACGAAAGACCAGGTGCCAGCAGTGGTCATCAACTGGGCCGAGCTGTGCCGCAATCACTTCAAACGCCCCATTGGCCCACTCTGACGGTGGGGGTGAGTTCATCAATAACACTCTCGCCACATACTGCAAAACCTACGGTATCCAACAGACCTCCACTCTTCCCCATTCCCCTCAGCAGAACGGCATTGCCGAGAGCCGCATTCGTGAGATCACCAAGATAGCTCGCTGTCTCATTGCTCATGCCTCCACCCCGCCTTCCCTCTGGAGCTATGCCCTTCTCCACGCCGCCCTTCTCCTTAATCTCCGCTCCCATCCTCAGCACCCTTCCTCCTCCCCCACAGAGCTTTGGTCCAACACCAAACCTGACGCTGCCGGCCTTCGAGTTTGGGGATGCAAGGCCTACGTTCTCGTTCCACCCGCCGATCGCTCCCGCGCCGCTGGCAAACTTGCTCCCCGTGCCCTGGAATGTGTCTACCTTGGGCACAACCGCGACTCCCCAGGCTACCTCTTCCTCCACCCTCCTACCAATCGCCTCATCCGCAGCAGCGACGTCGTCTTCGACGAGTCCGTCCCCTATTACTCCACTCCTCCCCCTGATCCTCTCCCTCCTCCTACTCGCCCTCTCGCCTGGACCGACACCGTCCTCCCGCCTCTCCTCCCCCCCGCTCCCCTCCTCCCACCTGTCGCCGCTCCACTCCCGCCTCCCTCCTCTGCCGACGTCTACGACCCCGCTGCACCCGCCTCCCCCGCCCACTCAGCTGCACCCCCTCCCTCCCCTCCCTCCTCCCATCACTCTCCCGCCCTTCCGCAGCAGCAGCAGCAGCCGGGGCAGCAGCAGCAGCGGCAGCAGCAGCAGCAGCCGCAGCAGCAGCAGCATCAGCCGGGGCAGCAGCAGCAGCAGCCGGAGCAGCAGCAGCAGCAGCAGCAGCCGGGATGGCAGCAGCAGCAGCAGCCGGTGCAGCAGCAACGGCAGCAGCAGCAGCAGCAACGGCAGCAGCAACAGCAGCAGCGGCCTCAGCAGGGGCAGCAACCCCATCGCCCGCAGCGACAGCGCGCCACCTCCCGCTCCTCCCCCTTTCTCCTTCCCCGCATGCACACCCGATCTCTGGATCCCATCCTTGGGACCCCTCCTCCTCCTTCCCTGCAACTCCTTGAGGACTCTCACGAGGAGTTCCTCGCCATCCAGCAGCACACTCCGTTCATAGCCACCCTCTTTCTTGACTTCCTTGGCTTCCCCGTCCTCGGCGCCACCTCCACCCCCACCATCTTCACTCCCTCCACTTTCCAAGAGGCCATCACATGCCCTGACGCGGACAAGTGGATAGCAGCAATCTTCCAGGAGTGCGAGGCGTTTATCCGCAACGACTCCTTCGTCGACGTTCCCCTCCCTGACGGTGCCAATCTTGTCGAGGGCAAGTGGGTCTTTCGGGTGAAGCAACTGCCGGACGAGGAACCGGTCTACAAGGCCCGCTACTGCGCCAAGGGCTTTACACAGACACATGGGGAGGATTTTTGGTTCACTTACGCCCCCACCGCCAAACCCCCCACCCTTCGCGCAACCCTCGACGTTGGTGCGCGTGATAACATGGAGATCGACTGCATGGACGTCTCCAATGCGTTCCTACAGGGCGACCTGCATGAGCGCATTTTCCTCCGCCGGCCACCTGGGTTCCACGCAGCCTTCTCTGAGAACACTGTCTGGCAGCTGCGTCGCCCTGTCTACGGCTTGAAGCAGGCGCCGCGCGAGTGGCATGCAAAGCTGGCTGCCACCTTAGGGTCACTCGGCTTCTCTCCCTCCCACTCCGACGCCAGCCTCTTCATCCGCTCCTCCCCTCGCCGCTTCTTCATCCTGGTGTACGTGGATGACATGATCCTGCTCTCTGACACGAAGGCCGACATGGAGCAGATGAAGCAGTCCCTGCAGCAGCGTCTCAAGTGCAAAGATCTTGGAGCCCTCACCCACTACCTGGGCATGGCTATCACTCGTGACCGCTCTGCTCGCACCATCACCCTCTCCCAGTCCCATTACATCGGCCAGATCTTGGAGAAGTTCGACATGGCGCAGGCCAAGCCCGTCTCCACCCCCCTCCCCTTCGGCCACCAACTCGCCCCACCCACCTCTCCCACCTCCTCCCCTCACCCCTATGCCGAGCTCGTTGGGTCCCTGATGTACGCGATGATGTGCACCCGCCCCGACCTCGCCTATCCCATCAGCGTGCTCGCTCGCTTCGTCGGCACCGGCCGCCACAGTGAGGAGCACTGGAAGGCGGCCAAGCGGGTCCTCCGCTACCTTCGAGGGACCAAGGACCTTGCCCTCACCCTTGGCGGTTCTTCCCCTCCTCTCCTCTCGGGCTTCAGCGACTCCTCCTGGGCCGACACGCAGCCGGACCGCCGCTCCTCCCAGGGCTACGGCTTCACCCTTGGCAGCGGCCTCATCAGCTGGCGCTCCACCCGCTCCTCCGCCATCTCTCTCTCCACCTGCGAGGCCGAGCTCTACGCCGGCACCATGGCCGCTCAGGAGTCCCGCTGGCTCTGCTTCCTCCTTGCCGAGCTCGGCGCTCCCCAGACATGCCCCACTCTCTGGTGCGACAATGCCAGCACCATCCATCTCACTGAGGACCCTGTCTACCATGCCCGCTCCAAGCACATCGAGCTCCGCTATTTCTTCATTCGCGAGCTTGTCCAGAAGGGTCTCATTGCCGTTCGCAAAATTGCGACCGAGGCCAACCTGGCCGACATTTTTACCAAGGCCCTCCTTCGCCCTGCGCACTCCGCTTTCCTCCGCCTCATCGGCCTCGCTCGCCCGGGCGCTCCTTGATTCAGGGGTTGTTCTCTTCTTGTGTTAGCATGCTAAGGGGTTGTGTTAGAATTATATATATTGTAGCATGCTAAGCACATGTGACTGTACACCAATTGGGACAGTTGGGTTGGGACTACACCCAACATTGGGTGTAGCCTTGCACTTTGGGGTGCCAATCCACCCAATTGTGGTGGAGCCCCCAAATTGCAACCCTCTTGACTTTTTGGGTACCTCACTTCACAATTGAGGCCACCACAAGCCAAGTGGGCCTAGGGTTGCCACACTTCTTAGAAGTGTGGGCAACCCAACCCACCCCACCTATGGTTACCTCACTTCCCAAAGTGAGGCCAACCCAACCATAGGTTGGGTTCCTCCTTCCCTTCCAAGCTTCTCTTCCCAAACTATGTATGCTAGGTTTGCTCTCTAATCAAATCACTTGTTCAATTCACATCTTTCACACCGCTGCTCCTCCGTGCCTTTCTCACTCTCCCCGATTGCTTCTCTGCTCCCCATCTCCCCACCCATCCAACCGTCCTTCCAGCAAGTCACCCCGAACAGGACCACCCCTATAAACTCACCACAAAGCCCCCCATCTTCCACTCTTCCACCCCATCACCCCTACCAGGACCCACTCTATCCGCTTCCCACTGGTGGCAAAGCGTCTAGCGTGCATGGTTCTGGCTGGTACTGCTTCTGCCAATGTGCTCCAGCCGCTGTGCCATGTGGCAGAGAGTGGCGACAGCGCTGCCATGCCCGTAATAGTAAGCCATGCCTGCTCACCGCAGTAAGTGGTGAGCCTCTTACCCCTTGTTCCTGGCATGATACCGATAGTATGATGTCTGCATGGAGCTGGCAGGCAGGCAATGCCTCTGCCAATGCGCTCCAGCCCCTGTGCCATGCCAACGAGGTAATATATGCCCACTCCCAGAAGCTGGCAGCGTGCACCCCATTTCTTTAGGTTGGCACGGGGGTTGAACCCGAACCCACTCGCTTCGGAAGTGACCCAACTATCAGCTGAACCACTTCAGGTTGGGCAACACTGTTACGAGATTTCGGGATGAGCAGAGATGATGCTCTTGCCCTCGCTCGCGAGAAGTCGCATGCTAAAGCAACTGTAACCATCTTACTGCCCCTCCCACTCGCTCTCTCCTCTCTCCCCTCTCTTTTCTCTCCTCCCTCTTCCCTCTCCGCGCCAGTGGCGGCAGGAGCATGCATACATCCACTCGGCACTCTCCTCTCTCCTCACAACCGCACAGGCAGCAGGGCAGGGAACAGTCCGCTCCCTTTCATGTGCGTGACGGGTATGCATACATGCACGCAGCGCTCCCTTCGCTCCTCGCAGCATCACACGCAGCACAAGCAGCAGGGCAGGGAACAGTCCGCTCCCTTTCATGTGCGTGACGGGTATGCATATGTGCACACAGCGCTCCCTTTCATGTGCGTGACGGGTATGCATATGTGCACACAGCGCTCCCTTCGCTCCTCACGACAGCACAGGCAGCGGGGCAGGCCAAAATCCGCTCCCTTTCATGTGCGTGACATGAGAATGATGCTCCTGATTACATGCCAACATGCTCGTATCTCATTTCTCATCCTCCATCTCCCATCCATCATCCCCCATCCCTGATTTTTCTTCAGATGGCCCTCTCTCTTTCTGCATTTTTCTGATCCCCCGTCCCCCCCAAACTCCTCCCCCACCAGTCTTCACCCCTCACTGGTACGCCTCTCTCCTAGCCCGTCTGCATCTCAACGCCTTCCGCATCGCGCCACTGCTCTCAGTCACCACTGCAGCAGCGGCTGAGCACTCTCTCTTGGACTCAACCATGCAGGACAGCATCTCTCTCTCCGCAGCAGCACTCTTCCGAGCGGCGAGTGCGGCAGTGACGGGCGACGAGGCAGTCGGCACGGGGGTGTATCTCCTCGCTTCCTTCTTCAACCATGACTGTGGTGCGTGCGTGCTCTCTGCTTGATGCTCGCTCACACCTCTCTTCAGGAGCTTCAGCCACCGCACTGCCTCAGACAGAGGCTCCAGGGGTGTACCTCCTCGCTTCCTTCTTCAGCCACGACTGCGGTGCGTGCGTGCTCTCTGCTGCATGCACGTGTCTATTCTTGTGGGGACTCGACGATCCTCTTTTCTCACATGCTCATACTCTTACCCCTTGACCCATCCCTGCCATTACCCAGACCCTAACGTAGACATCTCATGGCCCATTGACGCTACAGCCGTGTCCTGAACTGTCACATGCTGACATGCTTTGAGATGCTCACTTATCCATCATCCACCCATCCACGCCATTACCCAGACCCTAACGTAGACATGGCCCACTGATGCTACAGCCGTGCGCTGAGCTGCTCTCATGCTCACATGCTTACCATCTCCTCCCCCTCCCCTGCCGTTTCTCAGACCCTAACGTAGACATCTCATGGCCCACTGACGCTACAGCCGTGCTCCGAGCCAGAAGAGATATCGAAGCTGGTGAGCAAGTATGGCTATTGGTTTCATTATCCATACCGTATCAGTCGTCAGTGAGAGAATCAAATCTGATGGTGATCAATGCTGCTACTGCTACTGCTCCTTCTCCTGCTTCTGCTCCCGCTCTCTCTGCTTCTCCTCGCTCTGCGCTCCTCTGCTTCTCTCTGCTGCTCCCTCTGTTAGTACAGGTCATGTTAGCACCAACCAACCCTGTTTGCGAGGCAGACTTTGAGTCGACTAAAAAGTCTTGTCTAGCACCAACCCTATCTGCCGCGCCCCACATGCCTATGCCTCCAGGGGAGCACCTCACAATAACGTACCTGGACAGCAGCCTCGGAAGGGAGGCTCGGCAGAGGCATCTGAAGGAGGCGTATGGCTTTCGCTGCACGTGCCAGCGCTGCCAGCAAGGCGACATGTAGATAACGGGTATGTTTACTGTAGGTGGTGTTTTGTAAACGGAACTGTAAGTGTCATTAATAAAGCACCTTTTATTCAGTTATCACCATATTTTGCGCTGAGATGGAGGCCCAGAATTGTAGCTCTGGATGTAATGTCTAGTGCACCTTTGAAAATGCGCGTCCATATTTGGTCATACCATATCTACTGAATCAGAAGTGCTATAATGAGAGCAAATCGTTTTTATTGATTAATAACTTCTGTTGCAATGCAGGCATGAGGTGCACCCACAGATGATATGAGCTAAGAAGACACACAGAGCATTCTTAATGGCCAACACAATCAAGACTTGTATCCTCCACCATTCAAGCCGCAAATCTATTCCCAACCCCCATGGCATGGCACTAGCAGCTGAAGTAGTGCAAATCGTCATCCATCAACTGACCCATCAGCCTCATCGGGTCATGTGCCCCTGCTAGCCCTGCTAGCCCTCCTGCTAGCCCGCCTCCTGTCACTCCTCCTGTTAAACCTCCAGCTATCCCTCCTACACCCATCCCAAACATATTCTCATGACCATCAACACCAACAGCACCAGCAGCAGCACCGTTGCTGCCACCACCGCTGCCATTGCTACTGCCATAAGTCCCCATCATGCCCCCATCCCACATACCCAATTCATCAGCCCCTCCTCCCCCACCACCACCCAACCCACACTCCTCTCCAGTCAATTTCTCAAACCCACCATACTGCACCGCACCAGCATCAGCAGCACCGCTCCCCTCTGCCCCGCCTGCTTCAGCCCGGACCTCAGGTTCGGTCAAGGCTCGGCCGAGCGTGCGCTCGCCGGGCACCAAGGCTTGGAGGTCCGACAAGGCTCGGCGCTTCATCCTGGTTTGAAGCTGGCCCTTGGCCCAAGATCCAACGGTTGCGATTAGCTCCTCCTGCTGCTGCTGCTGGGCTATAATAGCAGCGAGACGCGGGGAGATGGCGGGAGCAGCAGGAGAGGCAGGTGTGGCAGATGGGAGGAGAATGGATGGACGAGCGAATTGATTGCTCGCGGAATTTCCAGTGCTGCTGCTCTTGCTGACCCCGCCGTTGCTCAGTCCAGTATTGCTCAAGCCGGCGTTGCTGAGAGCATCATTACATGACGTGGGGCTTCCAACACCCCCGTCGCTCCCCGTTTTTTCCACCGCTTCACCAACGCTTGACAGCCCTGCTTTCTCCTCTCCCAATCGCGCCATCTGCTGCTGCTGGTGCTGCTGGTGTTGCTGCTGCTGCTGCTGCTGCTGCTGCTGCAGCTGCTTTTGCAGGTCTTCCCCGTGTTGCTGCTGCTCCTGCAGCTGCCTCTGCAGCTGCAGCTGCTGCCGGTTCAGCTCTCTCCTTCGCTTCTCCAGCTGCTGCTGCTGACTTGGGTGCTGCTGCAGATTCTGCTGCTGTTGTTGCTGCTGCTGTTGCTGCTGTCGCATCTCCTCTCCTTGCTGCTGCTGTTGCTGATTGATAGCAATGCCACCAGCCATGCTGCTGTAAGCTGGAAAAGGGTGGCCCATGGGGGGCATGTGGAAGGCAAACGGATGGGCAGACGCATGTGCTGCTGCATGTGCAGCATGTGCAGCATGTGCCATGTGGTGATGCATGGATGGAGGTGCCATTCCTGCCATCCCCATCATGCTTCCGGGCTGCCCGAACATCATTCCCGGAAACATTTCGCCAAACTGCCCGCTGCCCGGGGCAGCTCCTGTCGGCAGGCCAATAGCAGGAGGCGGGTGGAAGGAATCACCCGGGAAGCTTCCTTGCCTCAACAGCTGAGACTGATGCTGGTGGTGCTGCTGCTGTTGGTACTGCTGCTGGTGGAAAGGGAAATTCTGATTGGATACTGGCTGTGCAGCAGGAGGCTTAGCAGCAGCAGCGGGGGCAGGGGCAGGAGGGGCACGGGAGGAGTTGGAGAGCCTTGACTTGGTTTGACTTTGCTGACCAGCCTGCTGCATGCTCGCCTTGATGGCGGCGGCTGTAGCAGCGGCGGACGCGAAGGCGGCAGGGTCCTTGCCAGACGGCTTGCTGCTGCCGCCTCCACTGGCTACAGCCAAACCACCAGCAGCACCAGCCACACCAACAGAACCAGCCACACCAGCAGCACCGGCGGCAGCGGAAGCGAAGACGGGATTTCCGGAAGGAAGGAAGGAGGAGGCACTCGCACTTCTCCGAATGGGGCAGGTGATGCCGCCACCTCTATTAGCACCACCGATGTTAGCACCAGTGACGCCGGCAGCGCCAGCAGGAGCAGGGGAGCCCGAGCCTGAGAGCTTGGGGCGGAACGGGCAGGAGGCTTGATGGAGGTTCCGCGCGTTGCGGTCAGCAAAGGCGTTGCTCCACTGGTGCTTCGGGCAGCGGTCAAACGGGCAGAGAAAAACTCTGTGCTCTGGGGTTAAGGACCCCGCACCCTGTGAGAGCGAAGCAGCAGCAGCAGCAGCAGCAGCAGCAGCAGCAGCAGCAGCAGCAGCAGCGGCAGAAGCGCTGGTGAGGTTGCTTGTACCGGAGAACACTGTAGCGGGGATATTCAGAATCTCCTGCTCCGTTTTGACGCGGCCAGCCAAACGGCCAGGTGCTTCAGGCGCGTACTCGTCATAGTCTGTCCCGTTACCAGCCGCGGATAGTTTAAAGCTTCCCCGCTTATCCTCCCCCGCGTCAAGTGCGCCGGCGTGCATCTTTCCGCTGAGAATCTCCGCCAGAAGCGCGTTCGTATCCACGCCCGTCAAGTCCGCTCCGCGGATCCCTCCCCCAATTCCTCCGCCAATCCCGTCACCAATCCCGCCGGTAATTCCGCCGTCGCGCTCGAACGCACCCGCGCTGGGGGCTCTTACGGGCGATCCGGCAGCAAACGGGTCGAATTTCGCCGCGTCTTCGAGGCGCCCTTGTGCCTTGAGAATCTCCGCCTCCTCCTGGTCCAGCACGGCGTTCCACGTGGCACTCTCGCGCGCCGTCATCTTATCCTGCAGGCACTTGCTCTGGCGAACCAGCTTTCGAATCCGCGCCACGTCAGGACACAGGTGCCGGATGACTGACGTCAGCACGCCTACTTTCCACGCCTTCTTCAAGTCGTGCGGTTTCTTGTACGGCGGCGGGCCGGTGCCACGTGTCAGCCCCAGCTGCGGCCACCAATGCTCCTCCCCCGACGGCCACCAGGGCGGCGGAACGCCCTTCTCGAGCGGAAATCTCCGCTGCGGGGGGTCGCAGTGCTGCATCAGCGCGGAAAGCAGCGATCCCAGCGTCGTATCCTGCAGCTCCTGCAGCGTCTGCGGCGTCGCGAGCGCGGAAAGTCCGCTCCCGCCGAGTCCGCCCGCGCCGGGGACCATCCCGCCGGGAAATACGTTGCCGTTCCCCCCAGCAGCGGCGGCGGCGGAAGAAGCGGCGGCCTGCTCCGCGTTGTAGCGCGCAATCGCCGCGGGGCCGTTGCGGTCGAAGCGCACCTTGTCCTTCCACCACGCGCGCAGATTGTCGGAGCTTCCGCCGACGGGCTTCCCCTTCTCGGGGATAATTCCGTACACGAACCCTTGCGCGTTGCACACTTCCATCATCTTGAGCATATATTTAAGTATGCCGTCGTGCGCGCGCGACATCTTCTTCCGCCGCGCCTGGTCCTGCTGCGACTGCCGCTGCCGCGTCTTCTGCTCGTCCTCGCCCGCCGCGTCCTTCGGCGCATCCGTCGCCGCGTCTCCCGCCGCATCTTTCGCCTCGTCTGCCGGATTAGTTATCTCGCTGTCTTTCGCCTTCTGTCCGTCCTTGATTCGCTTCAGCTTCAGGCGATCCTTCCACATGCGACGCTCCAATTCGTCGACGTCGAATTCGTCGTCGGAGAAGCAGTCGCCGAAGTCGCAGGCGTCGCCTGCGATGAAATCCGCCATGTCGCCGAGATCGAGCTGACCGCTGATTAAAATCTCCGATTCCATCCTCTTGATAAGAATTCAGACAGCTGAAGAAACAGAGTCCTTTTTTAACGGTCACGTCGAAACGGTCGAGTCGGCGTATGTAAACTTCGGATGAACGGTAATTCGCCGATGATACACGTGAGATCTGGTCCGTGAAATGCCCACGAGCTTCGGAGCACGAGCGGGTGACGCGGCGACACGTGGCACACCAGACTGATAGGCTCAAAGCGTGTGGTCGGGATGGAAAGATGTTCCGAGAATCGTTCCAAGAATTTCCGAGAATTTCAAGGTCCCGACAGAAGAGGGATCGAAGGAAATATCTCAAAGCTTGTGGGATATGGCGGGAAGACAAGCTGCTTAAGGGATTTGATGCTGAGCGAGTGAGGAAGCAGCGGGAAGCGGCTTCGACTCATAAGTGATTGCAGAACGGTCAGCTAGGAGACACCTGCTCTCGCCTCTCTGTCAAGTTCAGGCTTTACTGGTTTCGAAACACTTGAGTTTCGATTCCGCAAGCTGGAATTGCTGTCTGACAGAGTGCAGAGCGCAATTTTGTATCGCAGAAGAAGTACGATGCGGAATCACTGAGGATGCTTGCAGGGTGAGGCTGAGAGAAGCCGACGAGCTAGAAGAGCGAATTATAGCAGTGACTATGGGTGCTGGCGCTCACACGGGAGAGATCTCTATTGACTAAAATTCGTTCTCTCTCGGCCAGTCATATACTGGCGTCACGAATCCGGCAGCGCGACTTGAAAACCTCGAGCGTTTGGGAACAGACGATAAAACCATAGCAAGGGACACGAGCAGTGGCGGTGGTTACAAAAGGCGAGGCGAGCTTGGGTGACTGGCTGACGCGTGACGAAAGGAAGTGGCTCAAGATAGTTATGGCAGTCCCATGCTTGAGGGCTGCCGCAGTTTGTGGCTCTCAGGAGTCTCCTCTGAGTCTCAAGAGCTGAGGGATGGAGGAACGAAGGAAGAGAGATGGGTGGCTTTGAAAGGATTCGCTGTGACAGCGCGATTTTGTGCACTCATGGCAATGAGCGCTGCTCAGGGCTGGAAGGAGGGGATGCGCTGCGCATGCGCTGTGAGCCTCAGGAAAGTCATCAGTCATTTGCCAAGGACAACAAAGCAAGAGAGCGAGAGCGAGAGTGATAGAGAGCTATGAGAACGAGTGAGGGAGCGAGGAACAGAAGAGCGAGAGAGGAGCGGGGGCGTTCAGTTGAGTTCGGAGCAGGTCTCTTCCTGTCCTCTCGCACACTCCCTCCCTCCCCCCCACACATCCTTGCAGCGGGGCAGTTTCCACGACTTCGAAAAGTCGAATCCAAAGCCCGCGAATTGGACCAAGCGAGCAGCAAACTGCCGTGCGTGTGTGGCTGTGAGGTAAGCGTTTCCCCTTGGCCACTGGCGAAGTGGATAGGGATTGCGAAAAGGTGTCAAGTTGGTGGGGGTAAGATCGAACCACTGCTTACTCAACACATCAGCATCCGCAAATCCTGAGGAATGCGCCAATTGGGCAAGCCAACAAAATCTGACCACAATTGCTGAATATTTGCGAGGTTGAAGTTCGAGATTTAAGCAAGGTACACGTCAGCCCTTGTAATATCAAGATCACTCATACCCACACGTTTGGTCAGCTAGAGAGCAGAAACTCCAAAACCCACCGAAGCAGAAAGCACACTCGAACGGCGAATTGTGGCAGCTGCTGCCACGTCAAGAACCACCAAGTGGGAACAGCCTTGCGGGTTCGACCAATACGGTTGGAGGCAGTGGAAAAACTGGATCAAATCAACAGCTGGCTCGAAAGGTAGAGGACACAGTATCGTTGCCATAGGGTAAGAAACAGAAGTACACTGCTGGCCTTTTTGAATTCCCACTTCATACCCCTTTTGTGTGGCAATGGCATCAGCAGTACACAAAATCTCTGCCGATAAAAGAGATGTCAGACCACAACGACATTCTGCCCGTGGTGGAAAGAAAAAAGCTTCGCAAGGTTACAACAGAGTCCACGACAAGCCCACCCACACACGCCCACGCAAGCGTGAACAATCGCATTCATGGCGGTGGGTGGAGTTCTTTCGCGGACAGTTCTTCAACGAAACTCCTTTCCAGAACGCATTACCATTAGCGCGTACAGACAGATCCGAGTCAATCCTCCAAATAATACATGCGCAAAAATATACAATAAACCTTATACACTCTATTTCTTTGCTCAATCAGCATTAATGCTCAGGGTCTATGAAGACACAAGCAACCAGGGACATGAAGAAGGCAGCCTTCAATACACCATGCCTATTTTAGTTATCCTCCCATTCCTCCTCCCACTTGATGCACACACACATACTCTAACCACCATCCTCTTCCTCTCATCTCACCCACACAATAAGCTATGGCACTCTACAATAACCCCGTGCACACATATACACATCCACACACACCCACGCTCACCCCCTCCCCCCTCCTCCCCCCCTCTCCTCCCTTCCCCAACAGACACACTCACAAACACTCACTCACTCACTCCCTCGCACTCACCCATGTACACAATCTGTCTCTAATCCCCGCCTCCTCCTCCACCGCCTCCATCTCCTCCACCTCCCCCGCCAGAGTCACCTCCACCCCAACCTCCCCCGGAATCACCTCCCCCCCAACCTCCCCCAGAATCACCTCCACCCCAACCGCCCCCAGAATCACATCCCCCATCACCCCATCCGCCGAACCATCCGCCCCCTCCGCTGTCCCCGCACTCGTCCGCCCCCGCAGCGTACGCATTCTCGCAGCACTCGACTGCCGCATCCTCGCAACAGTCAGTTCCGATATCAAGTGCAAGAAAGGCCGCCGCGTCGAACGACAGGCTCCTGCTGTGGAGGTGGCCGCTCGTTCTCACAGTTCGGCTTTTGACGTGCGGAACTTTTCCCTCGCGGTAGAGCGGCAGCGCGGGGGGCACATGCGAGAACGTATCGTACTGAGGCGTTCCCTTTTCAGGCGCAAAGGACGGCTTCTGCACCGTCACCTCGACATTCACCACCCCTGCAAACGAAGCGCGCCGCATACGGAAACGGGAAAGCTTGCACGTGGCGGAATATGAGACGCCGTATTTTCGAATAGCTGGTTCCAGCAGGAGTACGGCGAACCCTAAACACTTGCGCCGCGATTTCGACTTGAAGACTTCGATTAACGCGAACGGGTAGAAGTTGGTTTCGCGCCCGTTCAGATGACCTGGCGCGTGCGGCTCGATGGAAAGAAGCGCCTCATCGACTAAGAACTTAACCGAACTATTGCTCCAAGAGGCATTCGAACCCCCGTGAAATGCGGGACCAAAGGGCTGGCGGTGCTTGGTGTTGCCGTACATGCACACTGTCGCGTAGGGAATGAGCGGGCGGAAGCATGAGTTGTCGCGCAAACCACTTGCAGATTCTAATCGAAACTCGACGAGCGCCTTGGGCGTGCCATCGTCTGCCATCCACGCGACTGGGTGCTGGGAGGTAGGAATGAAGACGGAAAGTTGAGAGCGAAGCGCAGGAAACGGAGGGATGAAAATCAAGATTACGGTCTTCAGAAATGCAAGACTTCAGATGCAGCTTCATGCAAATTTGTGCTCAGCAAGTCAGCCCCTGTTTCATCTATTCGATCACCAATGTCGCGACGATGTGCGTTACGGGAACCGAAGCACGGTCGTTATTTCGCCGTGCCGTATCGTTTCGTCCTCGGTGCCCTAAACTGCCGCGTGGCCGTTGATTGCAAACTCAGCAGGCAATTGCAGCGTCGCCGAAGGTGGTCGCGCCTTTTCGCAGAGGGTCAACCCATCAAATCTTCAGCGAAGACATCTTTTCAGTTACCGTTCAGCGATGCTGGAAAAAGCAGGTTCAGGTTGCTGTCTCGCATGGTTTTCACGAAAACACATACCAGCGAAATCCAGAGAGTTACCGTGGCGTGTTACGATACGAATGCCTGGACGCATGGTTTCGTGCTGTGGTTGAGCCAATCAGAAAATGTGACCGGCAATGTGCATCGCTTCACGTTCGTGGCTTGCGAAAGCCTTTGCGACTGCCATGCTGGATGTCACAGACGCTGGCGCGAACAGAAAGCCTCCACTCAAATTTTCAGCGATGGATCAAGCGTTCGCATGCGACTGAGTCCACCACCACCAGCACTGCTCAAACGAGGGCAACCGACAGGCGACCGACACCCATGCGACGATAATTCACAATTTGCGCGCCTCGAATCTGGCTCTCCTTTGAACAAGAGGGAAGGGAACATTTGTTAGCCTCCCTCGATAAATCTGAAATCCCCCCACCTCCTTCCAGCTCCCACCATTACCTGACCAGCGAAATAAACGGTCCTCCAGTTGCCCAAACATCTAGTTCATCATTTCGTATTGAGAACGCGTATGCTTAGCTACTAGTAGCTTTCACACAACTTGATCGTGTCGCGATATACCTGTGATTTCTTGAGAAAATCGGCTCTGCATCCGAAGTTAACCAGTAATCGCCATGGCTAGGGCTCGAGTTCCACAGGCACTGCTAACGACAATTCTTATTCTAGCATGTAAGTACCAGAACGCTTTCATTCTCTTCGAAACTATATATTGAGAATGTCACAAATACGTTTTCGAATCCCCGAGTCACCCAAAAAGTGCATATAGAGCTTTTCCTCTGTAACGTGCTTCGCGCGTGAGCTGTACAAACATCCTCTGCCTTCCGCCCGTTTCGTTTGAATTGACTCACGATTCGGCTATAGCGTGTGTTCTAGTCTATTCACCTGGAACATTTTCCTCTCCGTTCCACCCTTCCCCTGCCAGGTACCATCGCCATAGACGCCCAGAAGCTCGGCACGCTGAAAAGTGAGTGATTCTCTCCCAATCTTTTGTGAATGGAGCCGCGCATAATGGTCCTTTCGTTCGATCTGCAGACTGCAGAACGACCAGTCTCGTTGCAAATGCTTCCAGGTCGATTACAAAACAGCGGGACTCGGGAGGAAGGTCAAATGCATGCATTACACGCCCTGATGTCGCCAACCTTCCACCTCAATCTTCCGGGTCGATCTTTCCAAACAGGGTGATAACTTTCAAGTCCCAATCACTGGCTCCCTTTTGTCTCCCTTTCCTTTCCCCGTCCTGAACGTACTCGACCATTTCTCCCCCATCCCTTTCTCCAGGAAGAGTGTCAACTTTCATTAACGGAGGTTTCTCAGCCAATGTGAAGCTCTCGCTCTACACCTATTACAACAAATATAACATCGCGTTCGAAACTGTTCTCACCACCACCAACGGAACCCTGCTCCCGCCGTTTCAGCACACGCTCGTCAACGCATCTGATGATACTCCCTATGTTATCTTTCCTCCTGGTGTGTGGGACGTGAAATACGAGAAGCAAGACGGGATTGTAACGGGCTACAGTTACACGGGAACCGGTGCTGTTTTTAACAGCAACGGGTACACTGGAACTGCTGCGGCGAGTGTAGAGCCCCTTGCAATAACGCGTACGCTGAGCAGGATGGCGAGGTGGCCGGCGCGGTTCAAGGTTATTCTCCAGGATTCTGCGAACAACACTCTCGGCTCCAGGGCGCTCAACTTCGCTTGAGACTGCTGGACATGGGCATGAAGTACGCTGTACAATAATAAGTCTCATTCACTAGTTTTAACCAATGTTAGAGGCATAGGCTCCATATTCTTGATACAATAGCTGCACATCGTTGTACTGTCATGCTTCTCAGTAACCTACGTGCTTCAGGTTATGTGTATTCAGGCCAGATATGTGCTGATATGTACCACAGCTTCAGAAGTTGTGGAAAAACCTTCAGCATCAAAGTAATCCTTCGCCTAGTACAAGCCTTGAACCATTCTTTTTCACTGTCCATGTTTCAAGGTTAAAAAGGCTTCGTGGTGCAAGAGCCCTATATTCGCTTCACATCAGGGGTCAACAATGGGGAGAGTTGAGCCAATCAGTTGAGTTTATGCTAGGTGACTTTGAACAGGATTTATTCTTTCCTTGCAGTGATGCCCGTAAATATTGCTGCCCTAGCTAAAGATGTGAGGAGTCATGAACCAATTTTAGTAACAAGTGTATAGGGCCACAATCTATCATTCCATAATTTTCTCACACCTTTTCTGTAGGCTGGTTTTTTCTATTTATTACCAAGTTATTTTGAATCGGATTGGCGAAGGGTAGCGGGTGAAAAAAGTTGTAATATCCTACGAAAAGCCATCGCGATTCACTGGATTGACGACGAGCAGACACTCGTCAGGGTGTCGCAGATCGTTGACGATACACCGACACAAGCGAGGAAAATCGGTGTCTTGCGGTGCCTTCCTGGTGACGGAGGTAAATGCGACGGAAGCGCGACTCGAGCGACCGAATGTCGGATTTGCGCGATGAATGCGACGCGCAACAAGTGAGATCTGCGACGAAACAACACACTTCCTCATCAAGCACACCATAGATTATGGTGTTCTATTTCATTCTCCTCGCTATTTTGTTGTAAAAACTAAGGCACGTCAGAAATAGGCCACTCAGCGCTTGAGGTTGTCGCAAAGGAGCTCCAACGCCATAGCCTGATCCCGTGACATTAGAAACTACAGGTTGTCGTAATCCTAGAGTGGGTCCCGAGATTCTGTTTCACAGATATCCCCGTTAACAGGACAGGAACGCTTTAGCATAGCTCACACATGAACACCCTAGCCAACTCGATGCGATTGTGGGAGGAAACGGAGCTCGTTCCGTTATCAGTCTCTTGGGAAGCAAACCTGCCGGGCACCGTCAGCATCGCCGTCATATCGCTCGAAAATGACCAACCGTTGAAGAAGATCGTCTCACCTGCCGTTAAGGATCTCAACGGACGGTTTTCAGGCGCCGCGTCATTTCTCGTGGATGCTTCCCTGCTCCGACCGTCGCAGGCAGAACTGTCGCCACCGCCGCCGTCGCCGTCGCAGCAGCAGGAGCACGAGCTGGGGCAGCCGCAGCAGTTGAAAAGACAGCAGTATCCTCGACTGTTCATCGATTTCTATTCCTGCTCAAGGCCCCTAGATTCCAAATTGCTTGGCCGTGCGACAATTCCCCATGAAGCAGTCCTCGCCAGCCAAACAGAAAAGGGCTCGTACGACGTCGTTCAACCTGGCGGGATCGCCGGGCGACAGAGCACGACTCGTGGAATCGCACAGGTGCATGTGCGATCAGGAAGTGCGATTCCTCTGCCGCGGCGGGGGCAAGCGGAGTACCAGAGGCTGGCCAATGTGCAGTCGATCATGAACCCCGCACGCTTCGCGCTCCCGGCAACTGCTTTTCGCGAAACTTCGCAAGATCGTCGCCACAGCGCGAATCGTACTCACGGTCGCAACGAGTTGGGTCTTTCCAGTGCCGCCAATCTAAGGCCCGTCAATAATCGTCAAGGGCAGTCGAGGAGCGGTGCCGCGCAGGAGGCGGCGAAATCAGGAAAAGAGAATGTCCCACCGGTGGTGGTCATTCGGAACCCTGACGGCATGCTCGAGGGATTGGGTTTCCTGGTCGTCGGCGCGTGAAAGTTCGAGGCGCCTAAAAAATGGAAAACAGGGGATCCCGCCGGTGGTGGTCATTCGGAACCCTGACGGCATGCTCGAGGGACTAGGTTTCCTGGTCCTCGGCGCGTGAAAGTCCAGGACAGGTTGTGAGTCGATTACATGCCTTTGACCCAAGCTATGAGCCATCCACCCGTTACAAGCAAGACGACACGACACAAACTATTAGTTGTAAGGGCCGCAAGTTTCGGGGATACGGGGAGGCATCAACCCTAAACACGGGAGCTTGCATGGTGTTTCTGGTTGATGCTTCCTTGGAAAGGATCCTATTTCCGGAGTGTGGGTGAGAGAGTGAGCATGCCTTAGACCGAGCTACTACACTTGTATAGCGTATTTGCGCTGGCCCCACTTCGGTATCACTGCTTGATGACTTGTAGGAATATCTTCTACATCTGATTGAGACAAAGCATATATTTGCTCATTAATTACATTCATGATTGCTACTACACCACCACAGCATAATGTTGCACTTCATCCAGTGCCAGTTTCCCCATTATCTACTTCTCATGATCGACCACCACTAGCCCTGAACAGTCCCCCAGTGTAGACTATATCGGAGCACACAAGCAGGCGATTGTGACAGTAATGAATGGAGGAATTCGCAAGGGCCACACCAGTAGGGAATGGCAGCGGGAAGCCAGATCGCAGACGGTGATTAAGAAGAGGGATGAGGACGGAGCGAGAGAGAGCAGACACTATCGCTTGAAGTATCTGAGTGGGGATATTACCGACGAGACTCCACTCCTCCTGAGCTTGAAACTTAACGAGTTGCACTGTAGCGGTGATATTGCTTCCATCCACAGCAGCAGTTCCCGCACACACAGCAACCATTTTCACGCCAATCACATCGGTCTGATTCCACGTCTCGCCTGGTAACACAGTTACCATGAGCAGCGCATCGACCTCCAATCCGATCCCGCCAGGTGTCAGCGTGGCATTGGGCGGCTGACTGGCGTTGACTCGGAAGACCAGGTCGGCGTCAGGGTACTCGTGGAACATTCTGGGAAGGATCCAGCGCCACCCCTTGGTGTTGAGAAGCTTCCAGGGGAAGGAGTCTGGCAGGTGGTTGATGGTGTAGGAGAGTGCTCCAGCCTGGAAGGGCACAATGATGGAAAGGGCAAAAATGAGGGCACTATGAGGGGAGTACCTTAGGTGTTAAGAGGCTTCCAGGCAAAGGAGTCCGGGAGGTGGTTGATGGTGTAAGAAAGAGCACCCGCCTGGAAGGGGGAGGGGATGGAAAGGACATGTGAAAGGGAAAAAAGAGAGAGTGCTGAGATGGGAGTGCCTTTGTGTTGTGAAGCTTCCAGGGGAAGGAGTCCGGGAGGTGGTTGATGGTGTAGGAGAGTGCTGGAGGGGAGAGGGGATAGAAAGGGCACGTGAAAGGGCAAAACAGAGGGTGCTGTGATGAGATGGGCCTTGGTGTTGAGGAGCTTCAGGGGAAGGAGTCCGGGAGATGATCGATGGTGTAGGAGAGTGCACCGGCCTGGAGAGAGCAAGGTAGACAAGGGAAACGGTCAAGAGGGAAGTGGGACGGGAATGCCCTTGGTGGGAAGGACCCAGCGCCAACCATTGGTGTTGAGAAGTTTCCAAGAGGAGGAGTCTGGGAGGTGGTTGATGGTGTAGGAGAGCGCACCAGCCTGAAGGAGGAAAATAGTTGGGAAGAACGAGCGGACGGCAAAAAAGGCAAGGCGCCGGGTGAAGATGAGGGCAGGTGAGAAACGCACCTCACCCTGAACAGATTAACAGGCAATCCGTAAAAAACCTCAATGCCCACCTGATAATCGCACCTGATAACACACTTAGCTGGACGAGGCAACGGGGCAGTGAGGGAGGGTTCTAAGTCATCTAAAAGGTCCCCCAGTTCACCCACCCACCTCATAATACACTTGGCTGGCCGAAGCAATGAGGTGCTGAGAGATAGAGAGGAAAAGAAAAACACTTCTGAGCCATGCTATAGGTCCTCTAGTTTTCCCTTCCCACTCACCTCATAATACACTTGGCTGGCGGAAGCTACGAGGTGCTGAGAGAGAGAGAGCGCCACCATCCGCCCTGCCTCCCCTCACTCATCGCCCTCCCCCACACACGTTGCATTGCCCATCACACTCCCTCCCTCACTCCCGCCTCCAAGCCCACTATTTATCACTCTCCTTGATTCCTCCTCCCCCTTTCCTACCCCTATCCTTGCCTCCCCTTCTTCGTCATCTCTCCTCCTCTCCACCTTCCCACCAGCATAGCCAATCGCACCCCCCTCCCACAACACCCTGACGCCTTGGTAGCTGCTGATGTCAGCACCACGGTCGCTGCTCGCACCACTACCACCAATACTTCGTCCGCTGATGTCAGCGGCAGCAGGATGAGACAGCAGGCTGACATCATCATCATCATCATCATCATCATCATCATCATCATCATCATCATCATCATCATCATCATCATCATCATCATCATCATCATCATCATCATCATCATCATCATCATCATCATCATCATCATCATCATCATCATCATCATCATCATCATCATCATCATCATCATCATCATCATCATCATCTCGCATCACCCTAACGCCAGCATAGCTGCTGATGTCAGCACCACGGCCACCGTCTAGCCCATCACCAATAATACTCCGCATGCTGACATCATCATCAGCAGCATCAAAATCATCACGACGGGACAGCAGGCCACGATCCGACGGCAGGAAACGGCCGTGGCAAGCGAGCGAGATGCCCTGGCCGTCGATCTCGGGATCGCCAGGCAGAGTGGCGTCGAGAGCAGTGGTGGCATCGATGGGAACGATGCGGGGAAGGGCCTGCAGAGCAGCGTTGGCGGTGGCGACGACGGTGTCAAGGCTGCTTGTGATGGCCGCTTCCATGGCTGCTCGTAGGTGATTAGGTAGCATGTCTACTAGCCTGAGGGGGGGAAGCAGGGTGGGGTAGATGGGTGGAACAAGAGAGGGGAGGGCCTGGAGAGCAGCGTTGGCGGTGGCGACTACTGTGTCAAGGCTGCTTGTGATAGCGCTTTCCATGGCTGCCCGTAGGTGGTTGGGTAGCATGTCTACTAGCCTGGGTTGCGGGACGGGGAGAGGAAAGGCGGAACCGAAACGGGGGTTTGAGGGTGCAGGGGATACAGCAATTGTGAGGGAGGGCCTGGAGAGCAGTGTTGGCGGTGGCGACCATGGTGTCAAGGCTGCTTGTGATGGCAGCCTCCATGGCCGCACGCAGGTGGTTGGGTAACAGATTCACTACTCTGAAGGAGGAGGGGGGGAGAGGAAGGGGGAAAGAGGAAGGGGGGAAGGGAGTCAGGGGGTGGATTGGAGGGCCTGCAGGGCAGTGTTGGCAGCGGTGGCTACCACGGTGTCGAGGCTGCTTGTAATTGCCTCTTCCATGGCCGCCCGCAGGTGGTTGGGTAGCAGATCCACTAGCCTGTAGTTGGGTTGGGGAGAGGGAAAGAGCAGACAAGGGGGTTCAGATGGGCCGTGGCGACCACGGTGTCGAGGCTGCTTGTGATGGCCGCCTCCATGGCTGCACGTAGGTGGTTAGGTTGCAGATCCACCAGGCTGTGATTATAACGAGAAGGGGGAAAAGAGAAAGGGAAGCAAGCAGGGAAGGGGAAAGAGAAGGGGAGCAGAGAGTCACACTCACACAGTGTAGAGCCAGGAGATGCTCCCAGTGAGTTGAATCTCGATCTCATCAATCGTTGCGCCGCGCCACGCTGCAGCAGCGACATCCACAGCCCCGCGACCCCCCCCTGTCCCACTCTCCCCCCTCTCCCACATCCCATACAGTCACACCCGATACAGCCACACTCACACAGTGTAGAGCCACGAAATGCTCCCGGTCATCTGAATCTCGATCTCATCAATCGCAGCGCCGCGCTGCAGCAGCTCTCTCCCCCCTCTGCCCCACTCTTAACCCTCTTCCCCATCCCATACAGTCAAACTCACAGTCACATGTCACATCCCATTACACTCACACAGTGTAGAGCCAGGAGATACTCCCAGTGAGCTGAATCTCGATCTCATCAATCGCAGCTCCGCGCTGCAGCAGCGACACCCACAGCCCGCCAAACCGCTCCTAAAGCTGCGCCGCGATGCCCGCCTGCATCCCCGTGATCTGCACGCTCGCGTTCCCCGAGTCGCGCACGTACCCGCCCGCCATGACGTAGCTCCACGTCAGACTGACGTTGGCGGTGATCCTGCCAGAAAAAACGGTAATCTCGCCGCCTTCGTCTCCAATCCCTAGGTCGATACTCGCATCCTCTATACTCGCGTTCCATAGAACCATATCCGTTAGGTTCACTTGTAACGAGCCGAGAGGCTTGGGAAGGTCTTTCCGAAGCTGGAGGTCAGGTATGGTAAGCGGGATGATTTCTTCTAGCACTTCCTTTACAAGCACATCCCGGAACGACTGCAGGCCGGATTCTGACAGCCGCGCGGTAATCCCGCCGGGAGATTCGGAGGCGAGAGGCACACGCGGCGCAGGTTGCGAGTCGCGACGGCTGGAGTTTAAGCGCTTAATCGCCGTTGACCGCGCGTTAGAACCTCGACTGGTCAAGGAGAGGGGTGATTTAAGAACATCCTTCGCAGCGCGAAGAGGGTAGCGCGCGTGGATTGTGGAGCGCAGGAAGCGGGTGAGAGGGAAGGCGGTGCGCGGAAAGCCCAAGTAGCGGGTGGGCGAAAAGCGGGAGGCGTTAGCGGGAAATGCGGATAGAGCAAGGCAGAGAGCCACGTGGAAGATGAGGAGCGTTGCGCGGAAATTGAGAACACGGGGACTGCGGCGAGCGCGAACAACGGCTGCGGCTCGCGAGGCAGCCATGGTTGGTACAGAATGGAGGACAGCCCAAGGCACAGCTATGTGCGAATATGAGAGTGCAGTTAAAATTAAGAAACATAGGAAATAAAAATTGCCAGCTGTCATGGAGCAATAGCTCAGTGGTAGAGCAATCGACTGCAGATCGATAGGTCCCCGGTTCAAACCCGGGTTGCTCCTTCAATTGTCCCGCTTTTGCTTACAAGCATATCATTAGAGTGCCTTGTTTGCTAGTTAACTGGTAGCAACAGGGCAGGATAACTTTTATGACTTGTAAAAGAGAGTGCGCAGGTAAACGAATAACGAGACTGTGACTGAATGAATCTGAGAATACAATGAATGCGAGAACTAATGTAGGCTAGCCTAGCTAGGAGGAAACCTCGGACGAGCGAGGTTGGGTGCAGGTTTGGCGATGGGAATGCCGAAGGCGACGCGAGGAGCTTCGGCAGCGTGGAAATCGCCCGAACGTGCGAACTCCGAAAATCGGGTTGTACGCGCAGCAGTCAACCCCGATAAGGAATTCGAGAAAATTCCTTACACCACCCCCTCCCCCCTTTAAGAAAGGCGGTCAATATCCGAAACACGCTTGCGCGCCAAGTAATCACCAACAAGTGGCGAGGCGTCGAGCGAGGCGGATGGCACCCACGTGTCGTCCTCACTGGTGCGATCAGTCCAGCGGATTAAGAAATCCACGTGTCGGCCAGCTGCGTCAAGTCGAACCCGATGAGCGAGAATCTTCGATGGATCGAGTGTCGGCTCCGGGACAGGTCGAGCTGTCGGGACGGCTTGCCGACGTGCGATGTCGGTCGTGGCTGGCACGAACTTGCGAAGCAGGCTGACGTGGAAGGCGTCATGAATTCGCCAGTCGTCCGGTAGTAACAGCTTCGCGGTGACAGGTGTCACCATCTTGATAATCTTGAACGGTCCGCAAAATCGGGGCCGTAGCTTCGATGGGCCGGGCAGATGCAGGTTCTTCGTGTCGAGGAGCACTAATTGCCCAGTGGTCAAGACGAGTTCCCGGCGTAGAAGGTCGGTGTACTTGCGGGAAGTAATATTCGCTTTGCGAATTGCGTCTGCTGCTTTCTCGCGGATGTGCTGAAGTTCCGTCACAAAAGTTTGTGATCGCGGGACCGGGTTGTCGAGCGAAGTTGCCGTGGGCACCGTCGGATCCATCCCGTAATTCAAGAAGAACGGGGAGTGATTAGTCGTGCTCGATGGTGCGTTGTTGAAGGCAAACTCCAACATGGCGAGGGAATCTTCCCATCGTGCGGGGTCGGGGCAGTTTGTCCGTATCAGCTGCTCCATCGTCTGGTTGGTTCGCTCGGTTTGTCCGTCCGTCTGTGGGTGGTAGGCCGATGAGAACTGTAGCTTCGTGCCGTACTGCGCCCATGTTTCCTTCCAAAACTTGGATGTAAACTTCGGGTCCCGGTCGGTGATGATCGCCGAAGGGATGCCGTGTAGTCGCACGACCGTTGAGATGAAGAGGCGCGCAGTTTCTTCGGCTGTGATCGTCGTTCGGCATGGTGCGAAGTGCGCCATTTTCGTGAAGCGATCGACAACGACGAGGACAGCGTCGTTGCCGGACGGCCCAGCTGGCATCCCCGTGACGAAATCCATCGTCACCTGTTGCCACGGTCGTTCGGGTGGCTCGAGGGGTTGCAGCAGCCCAGCTGGTCGCTGACGTGTCGATTTCATGGCTTGGCACACCCTGCATGAGGACACATAACGCTGCACGTCGTTAGAGGAATCGGGCCAGTAATATTGACGGTGCAGTAATTTCTGGGTTTTATCAACCCCGAAGTGTCCGGAGTAGTTCGAATCGTGGACCTCCTGGATGAGGAGTTCACGCAGCAGCCGGTAAGCGGGGACCCAAATCCTGTCGGTGCCGGCTTTTAGGTAATAATCCCCCTTCTGCGTCGTGGCCTGCTGATGATTTCCTGTCGTGAAGAACGGGTCCGTAGTGTAGCCGTGGGTGAATAGTCCTGTAAGTAGCGGGTTCGAATGGGTGATCAGTACAGCAGCGGATTGTACGGTCGGTCTGGTCAGGGCGTCGGCGATGTTATTCGCCCCTTTCTTGTACGTGATGCGGTAGGTGAAGTGGCTTTCCATGTAATCCAGCCACCGAATTTGTCGCGGGTTGAGGTTCGGTTGAGCTCGCAGGTACTGTAGGGACTTGTGGTCCGTGCGCACAGTGACGTCGGCGCCCACCAGGTAGCATCGCCACAGTTTAAACGCGTGGATTATGGCGAGCATCTCCTTGTCGTGGATCGGGTAGTTGCGTTCGGCAGCTTGCAGCTTGCGTGATTCGTAGGCGATCGGCTGCAGCCCGTTCCCGAAATCCTGGAGAAGCACTGCTCCGATGGCGAAATCAGAGGCGTCGGTTACGACTTCGAACGGCTTCGATGGGTCGGCGATGCGCAGCACAGGAGGGGAAACGAGAAAATTCTTGAGCTCCTGGAAAGCCACCTCTGCTTCCTCCCCCCACACGAAATTCTTGTCCTTGTGCAGCAGGTCGGTCAGCGGGCCGGTTATCCCCGCCATATTCGGGATAAACCGCCGGACGTAATTCACGAACCCCAAAAAACTCTGGAGCTCCGTGACATTAGTCGGGGCCTTCCACTCCTGTATGATTATAATCTTCGCCGGGTCGATTTTGATGCCGTCGCGGGAGATAACGTGCCCTAAAAACTCCAACTCCTGCTTAAAAAACTCGCACTTAGAGCCCTTGGTGATGAGCCGGTTCTCTTGCAGCCTTTGAAAAACTGCGTCCAGGTCGTGGAGGTGTTGCTCCCGTGTCTTGCTAAAAATCAGGATATCGTCCAAATAGACGATGACACATCGGTCTAGAAGATCGCGAAAAACCCTGTTCATGGTCAGTTGAAATGTCGAAGGCGCGTTCGTGAGGCCGAAAGGCATCACCGTGAATTCGTAACTCCCGTAGCGTGTACGAAACGCGGTCTTGTGACAATCGTCGGCGAAGACCCGAATCTGGTGGTAACCGCCACGTAAGTCGAGCGCCGCGAAGTTGATCGAGAAGGTCGTCGGTGCGTGGGATTGGGTAGCGAGACTTGATGGTCACCCTGTTCAACGCGCGATAATCGATGCACATGCGAAGCCCGCCGTCCTTCTTCGGAGTGAACAGGATCGGTGCCGCGAACGGGGAGGTGCTCGGCCGAATGAACCCTTTCTCCAACAGTGCGTCAATTTGTCGGCGTAGTTCCTCGAGTTCCGGCTGGGTCAACCGCCACTGTGTCCGAACAGTAGGTTGCGCGCCAGGTTCCAGCTGGATTTTATGGTCTTCGGGTCTTTCGGGTGGCAGCCCAGGTGGCAGATCGTCCGGGAAGATGTCAGGGTACCGTCGAATTAGCTCCGCTAAATCCGGAGGAACAGCTGCACACAGCTTTTCGATGTCCTTTCCGTCGGTGTCGACTGCCAACTCGCGCAAGCAGACGGCGAACAGCTGCGCACCCCTGTTGAAGTGGTGGGCGATGGTGATGGCTTTGACGCACGGGGCTTGTATGTAGTCAGGTGTCCATGCAGGCAACTTAATTAGCCCCTCGTGCTTGCTGACGCAGCACGCTCCCGTTGCCCAGTCGATGACGGGGTTGTGTCGTCGCAGCCAATCGCGTCCCAGCAGCACGTCGCAGCCATCCAGCGTCGTCGCGAGGAACTTCATGCTGAAGCCGAAATCTTCGCCGCACTCGATCCGCACCGTCCGTGTTTCTTCCGTTATCGCCAGAGGCGTCCCATCCACGAGTCGTGCGTCGATTTCGGGCAGACACCTGTCAAGTTGCATGTTGCATTTTTTTGCGCTCGCCAAGTTGAAGAGGCTATGGCTGGCCCCTCCATCGACGAACATTTTCAAATGATGTTTCCCCACCTTGCCAGCGACCAGCACAGGGTGATCCACATGATTATCCCCGTTATTCGGCCGAGTGCGATCGATTGCATGAATCGGAACCACGACTCGGTGGGGATGGTGGTGTTCGGGCGACGGAGCACAGTCAGTAAAGGGCCCGCTACTTACTGACTCTTCCCATTTCCCTGCTCCTTCCTGTCGTTCTCTGTCAGCGGCATTTTCTCCTTGCATTCGTTCTTCCAGTGACCCACCTTCCCACACCGGAAACACTGACCCTTAGGAGGGCGGTCGGGTGTATGGACGGCGTTGATTGTGGCCCGATGGGTCTGGCCACGAAAACCTCTCCCATCCCTGGAAGCCGTTCTCGCGTACTGCATCAGCGCATCCGTTGACTCTGCCACGCGTACTGCTTCGAGGAACGATGTCGGAGGAACGATGTCGAACTTCGAACTGTATCTCGTACTTAAGGCCGCTCACGTATTTATCCAACCGCTCAGCTTCCGACATGTCATCGATTTGGTCGGCGAAGCCCATAAATGACGCCGTGTAGTCTTGGACAGATCCCATCTGCGACCATGCACGCAGCTTCATGCGAGCTTGCTCCGAGGCGGATACGTGCTCGAAGCGATCCCGTAAGGCTGCGCCCCACTCCTTCCATGTGCGTATCTTGGTCACACCGAAGATCGATTCTGCAACTTGATTAACCACTGTAGAGGTCCCGTCTGCCGCATGTGTCACACCTGTCGACGTCCCTGTTTCCAAGGTCCGGCGCCACCATTCAAGTGCTGCACCTCGAAGAAGCGAGACTGCGTAATTAATGCGCGTGGCATCGTCATTAACTCCGGCTGCAGTGAAGAAGACTTCAACCCCGAACAGCCACCCCTTCACTGTAGTCGTCTTGTCCGTAGGATTAAACGGGGGCGGGTTGACGGGCTTGATCTTGATCGTCGTAACTGCAACTGGCGCTGCCGCCGCTCGCTGCCTATCTTCTTCTTCGAAGTCGCGTGTGAGCTCGTCCAGAGGATTGCCCATCACTTGACTGTTGCCCTCGCCTTCGTCCACAGGCGACGTCTGACGCGCTTCACCTCGCGTCCGGCGTAGCTCGGCGTTTTCTGTCAAATTATATGTGTAACATTTATGTAGGCTATAGTACTGGGTCTAGCCTTAGGGGGTACACATATTTTCTCGACACTTGTTTTGTATCCCCCTCCAAACCCTAATTCCACACAACTTCATGCCTAAGATTCTAAGATGGTATCTAGAGCCTAGAGGTCTCTAGGACCTAAGATAAGGGCCCACCGTTACCACGTTACCTCACCTGCCTTGCCTCCTGCCCGCGCGCGCCTCGGCTGCACGTGCGCGGCCCTTTTTTTTTCTCCCGCGCGCGCCGCTTGAGCAGCCCGCGCGCTCTTCGTTTAGGCCCGTTTTCGGCCCCGCGCGCCACGTCAGCCGCCCGTGCGGCTCGTTTTTCCTCGGCCCGCCCAACTTCCTCCCCTTATCCGCCCGTCGCGGCCCTTCCCTAGCCCGTCGCGGCCCCTTACCCGCCCGTTGCGGCCCCTTACACGCCCGTCGCGGCCCCTTAGCCGCCCGCGGCTCCTTACCCGCCCGTCGCGGCCCCTTACCCGCCCGTCGCGGCCCCTTACCTGGCCTGTCGCAGCCCCTGGCGGCCCCCCACCGCCGCTCTTTCGCAGCCCTGCAGCAGCCGCCGCTGGACCAGCCGCCCCTGCAGCAGCCGCCCCAGCGTCCCCTGCAGCAGCCGCACCTGCAGCAGCTGTCCCAGGCCACTGCAGCAGCCGCCCCTAGCCCCTGGAGCAGCCGCCCCTGCAGCAGCTGCCTTTTCCCCCTGGAGCAGCCGCCTCTGCAGCAGCCGCCCCTGGTCCCTGGAGCAGCCGCCCCTACACCTGCTGCCCCTTGCCACTGGAGCAGCTGCCCCTGCAGCAGCCGCCCCTGCCCCTGGCCCTTCGGGCAGCCGCCCCTGCAGCAGCCGCCCCTGGCCCCTGCAGCAGCCGCCCCTGGCCCCTGCAGCAGCCGCCCCTGGCCCCTGCAGCAGCCGCCCCTGGAGCAACCGCCCCTGCAGCAGCCGCCCCTGGCCCCTGCAGCAGCCGCCCCTGGCCCCTGGAGCAGCCGCCCCTGGAGCAGCCGCCACCTGCAGCTGCCGCGGAGCCCTCGCCCTACAGTGGTGCCGGCCTCGCCGTTGCCGCCGTTGTACGCCGGCCCTTCTTGCCACTGGTGAGCACTGTCCTGCTGCTCCTGCTGCTACTGCTCTTTCTCCTGCTACTGCTGCTCGTGCTGCTCCTACGGCTACTGCGCTTTCTCCTGCTCCTGCTGCTACTGCTGCTACTGCTGCTCCTGCTGCTACTGCTGCTACTGCTGCTCCTGCTGCTACTGCTGCTCGTGCTGCTCCTACCCTTCCTACTGCTACTGCTGCGTTGGGGTTGTCGGGGTGGCCGTCGTGGGAGTCGTTCTGGCGTGAGTAGTTTCGGGGCTTCTTGTAGTGGCCAGGTGCAGCTGCAGCATCGTGTACGTGCGGTCCCCTCGCCCCCGCAGCTTCATGAGTGGTACTTTCAGCGGGGGGGGTCACGGGGTTCTGCTCGCTGCCCGTATGTCATTCGCACTGGTGCTCGGACTGGCCAGCCTTGCGGGACGTTTGGTCACACAGAGTCCCGCTGCTTCGCCAGTCTGAGCGACGCCTGGCGTACGGAGTTTGGCGACGCGGCTGAGCTCCCTGACTGGGTGGAGCTGCGCCAGCGGAGGGTAGATATCTATGCTCTTGACTTCGATGCTATCCTCACTGCCATGTATGCATTGACTACTAGTGATGTCGGTGACTGTTCCCTGAGTGCTCCGCCCGACCCGGGCGGTGCAGCTGCTGCTCTAGGTGCTAGTGAGTCTGTTGCTCCAGGTGCTAGTGAGTCTGCTGCTCCAGGTGCTGGTGAGTCTGCTACTCCAGGTGCTGGTGAGTCTGCTCTCTCAGGTACCACGTCTGCTCCGGCGTCGCACACTTTCACCCTTGACTCGGGTGCTTCCCGCTCCTTCTTTCGAGACCGCACCACTCTCACGCCGCTCAGTCGGCCGGTTGCGGTCTCCCTGGCAGACCCCTCTGGGGGTCCTGTCCTTGCTCACTACTCCACTGTACTACCGTGTCCGGCGGTCCCGTCTGGCTCCCTGTCGGGTCTTTACCTCCCCTCGTTCTCTACGAACTTGGTGGCGGGTGCTGACCTACAGGATGGGGGGGTTGACCAGTTCACCCCTGCGCGTCAGCGGGTGACCCACTGTACGTGTGCGGACACGGGCCGACACTTGGCCACGTTTACCCGTCGGCCGGGGTCGAGCCTGTACACCCTCACTACCGAGTCTCCTCCGGTTGCTGTGCCTGGTCAGGTAGCTGCGTCGGGTCAGGTGTTTGCTGCGGCGTCTCGGTCTGGTCCTGAGTCTGCCCCCTGCTCGTGTCGCCTCCTGTCCCACGAGACTCTTCTCTGGCACCACCGTCTTGGTCACCCCTCCCTGCCTCGTCTCCGAGGCATGGCCTCTCGTGTCCTGGTCTCTGGTCTTCCCCGGTCGCTCCCTCCCCTCCCCCCGGGGCCTGCCCCTACCTGCGTCCCCTGCGTCGAGGGGCGGCAGCGCGCCGCTCCTCACTCCTCCGAGTTTCCGCCGACAGAGGCTCCGCTGCAGACTCTTCACATGGACGTGTGGGGCCCAGCCCGCGTCCGTGGACAGGGTCATGAGCGTTACTTCCTGCTGGTGGTTGACGATTACTCGCGTTACACCACAGTCTTCCCCTTGCGCCGCAAGGATGAGGTCACTGAGGTGTTGATCGACTGGATCCGCGCTGCTCGTCTCCAGCTCAGGAAGAGTTTCGGCTCTGACTTTCCTGTTTTGCGTCTGCACTCCGACAGAGGTGGGGAGTTTTCCTCCGGCCCTCTGCGAGCCTTCTGTCGTGCGAGGGGCATCCGCCAGACGTTCACGCTTCCGGCCTCTCCACAGCAAAATGGGATTGCTGAGCGCCGCATTGGCATGGTCATGGACGTCGCTCGTACGTCCATGATCCATGCGGCTGCTCCCCATTTTCTGTGGCCGTTTGCTGTTCAGTACGCGCCGCGTTAGATCAACCTTCAGCCCCGGGTCCGAGGACCTCCCCCACTCTGCTGTGGACGGGGAAGGTTGGCGATGCGTCTGCGTTCCGTGTCTGGGGATCTCGGGCTTTTGTCCGAGACTTGTCTGCGGACAAGCTGTCCTCCCGTGCTGTTCCCTGCGTCTTCCTTGGCTTCCCCCCTGACGCGCCTGGTTGGCAGTTTTACCACCCCACCTCGCGCCGTGTTCTGTCCTCCCAGGACGTCACGTTTGACGAGTCGGTTCCGTACTACCGTCTCTTCCCCTACCGCGCTGCCCCCCTCCCCCCCCCGCCGCTCTTCCTTACGCCAGGTCCCCCCCCGGTAGACCCCCTCCCCCCTCAGGGTCCTGCTCCTTCAGGTGTGTCTCAGGTAGACCCCCCCCCCTTGGCTGAGCCTTTGGAGGTCACTTCCGACACCTCTGGCCCACCCGAGGGGGGTGACGCTGCTGCTGGCGCCCCGTCGGCCTACCGCCGCGCACCACGCTTGGAGACCCCTCCGGGGTTCCCCCCGCGACCTTCTTCACCGCCTCTGCGGCCGGCTACTGTTGACTCTGGTGCTGCTAGGGGTGCTGAGTGCTCCTGGAGGTTCTGCGTCTGGGGGTGCGGAGTCTGGGGGTGCTGAGCCTGCGCGTGAGGAGACTGGGGGTTCTGCGCCTGGGGGTGCTGTGTCTGTGGGTGCTGAGCGTGTGTGTGCGGAGTCTGGGGGTGCTGAGTCTGGCGGTGAGACGCTTGAGGGTACTGGGACTGCTGGTGCGCGGCCTACTTGGAGTGGCCGCCTTCGTCCGCGTGTGCCCCTCAGCAGCTGCACGACTGGTACGGTCGCCGTCAGCGTCGCGCTGCTGGAGCCCGGGACTCTGCTGCTCGAGGTACTGGAGGTGCTGGTTCTGGGGGTGCTGCTACGGGAGACACTGCGGTTGGAGACCCTGGGACTGGAGGTGCTGGTTCTGGGGGTGCTGCTGCGGGAGACGCTGCGGCTGGAGACCCTGGGACTGGAGGTGCTGGTTCTGGGGGTGCTGCTGCGGGAGACGCTGCGGCTGGAGACCCTAGGACTGGAGGTGCTGGTTCTGGGGGTGCTGCTGCGGGAGACACTGCGGTTGGAGACCCTGGGACTGCAGGTGCCGGTTCTGGGGGTGCGGCTGCTGGTGACGCTGGTTCTGGAGCTGCTGGCGCTGGAGGTACCGGTTCTGAGGCTGGAGCTTCTGGAGCTGCTGGAGGCGCTGGCGCTGCTGGAGGTGCTGGCGCTGCTGGAGCTGCTGGAGCTGGTACAGCTGTGCCGACACGACTGTTCTTCGCTCCGCCGTCTCCGTCGTCGCTGCCGCCGCCTGACTCTCTTCTTCGTCAGGTTCTTACTCTCCCGTCGTCCACTGGTCTTCCGTTACCGGCTGGCTCACCGCTGCCTGCTCCTTCTCCTTACACTGAGCAGACAGGTAGTCTTGCTGAGCGTCGTGAGCCTGCGTCGCGTCCTGTCTCGCCTGTTCGTCCTGGTCGTACCGGTCGTCGTGTCGCTCGTGCGCGTCAGCAGACTGTCCCCAGCGCACACCTTGTCGTCCGTCGTCCTTCCTCTGCTCCGCAGCCTGCTCCTCTGCCTTCCCCACCTGCGTCCTCTCTGCCTGTCGTTCCGGACCCTGAGTCTGACCGGTTTCGCGCTGAGCACCCCACTGTCACGCGTCTGTTAGCCACTGTTGTCACTGACCCGTCGTTTGAGTCTACTGCTGCGTCTGCCTTAGTCGCTGAGCTTGTCGACTTTGCTGCTGCCTGTCGTCTCGACTACGCCGCTAGTCTTGTTGCTGAGTCTGAGTCTGTCTGTCCTCCGTCCGTCGGGGGTGAGTGTGCTCTTAGCACGGACGTCCTTGAGGACAGGCAGGAGGAGTTCCAGTGTCTTGCTGCTGCTTTACCTCATCTTGTGTCCTCGCTACTTGCCCCTGAGGGAGACCCGGATGCACCAGACATCCCGACTCCGCGATCTTACGCGGAGGCGATAGAGGGTCCCTACTCCTCTCAGTGGCAGGCAGCCATGGACGCAGAGATGGCTTCCTGGAAGTCCACAGGCACCTACGTTGACGAGGTTCCCCCACCTGGGGCGAACATCGTCAGTGGCATGTGGATTTTCAGGGTAAAGCGGCCGCCAGGTTCTCCGCCTGTCTTCAAGGCGCGTTACGTGGCTCGAGGCTTCAGTCAGCGGCAGGGAGTTGACTACTTTCAGACCTTCTCTCCCACCCCGAAGATGACTACTCTTCGGGTGCTGCTACACATAGCCGCTCACCGTGACTACGAGCTTCACTCTCTGGACTTCAGCACAGCCTTCTTACAGGGCAGCCTGCACGAGGAGATCTGGCTGCGCCGTCCACCTGGCTTCACTGGGACGTTTCCTCCTGGCACCCAGTGGAGCCTCCGGCAGCCAGTCTACGGTCTCCGCCAGGCGCCGCGTGAGTGGCACGACACACTGAGGACTACGCTTGCGGCTCTTGGGTTTGCTCCTTCTACTGCAGACCCGTCGCTGTTTCTACGCACCGACACCTCCTTGCCGCCGTTCTACATCCTCGTGTACGTCGACAACTTGGTCTTTGCTACAGCTGACACTGCTGGACTCGCCCACGTGAAGTCCGAGCTGCAGAAGCGACACACGTGCACAGACCTGGGTGAACTGCGCAGCTATCTTGGCTTGCAGATCACTCGGGACAGAGCACGCCGCACCATTACCCTGACTCAGTCACACATGGTGCAGCAGGTCCTTCAGCGCTTCGACTTCACGTACTCCTCGCCTCAGGCCACTCCTCTGTCTACTCGCCACTCGCTCTCAGCTCTGCCTTCGGATGAGTCTGTAGAGCCGAGTGGCCCGTACCCAGAGCTTGTTGGCTGCCTCATGTACCTGATGACCTGCACTCGACCTGACCTGGCCTACCCTCTTAGCATCCTGGCACGCTATGTTGCTCCTGGGAGACACCGACCAGAGCACATGGCTGCAGCGAAGAGGGTTTTGCGCTACTTGTGCAGTACGTCGGGCATGGGGCTCGTGCTTGGAGGGCGGAGTCGAGTGGTCCTCACTGGTCACGCAGACGCGTCTTGGGTCGACGACCTGGCTACACAGCGGTCGTCACAGGGTTACACCTTCAGCCTTGGTTCCGGCTCTGTTTCGTGGCGGTCTACTCGCTCGTCTTCTGTTCTCAGCTCTAGCTGTGAGGCTGAGATCTACGTAGGAGCCATGGCTGCACAGGAGTTACGCTGGCTGACCTACCTGCTGACTGACCTTGGAGAGCCGCCTCGTTCTCCTCCAGTTCTGTACGTAGACAACAAGGCCATGCTCGCCTTGTGTCAGGAGCACAGACTGGAGCACAGAACGAAGCACATCGCTCTTCGCTACTTCCTTGCTCGTGAGCTGCAGCAGCGTGGTCAGCTGCGCCTTGCTTACGTGGCCACTCGGGCCAACACTGCTGATATCTTCACCAAGGCTCTTCCGCCTTGCGATCATCAGCGCTTTTGTACTATGCTAGGTCTTGTGCCTACTTGGCCTCACTTGCTCACTTCTTGACCTTACTTGTACTGTGTCTTATATATATCTGCTCTTGTTTGTTTACCTCTATATATCATCCTGCATGTGAACCGGCCTTGAGGCCTTGAACCTTTGCTCAGAATGTGTGGTGACGTTGTGATCCACCCTGAGTTTGCTTTGCTTTGCTTTGCTTGACTGGTCTTGTGACCCCTTGTGCTGGCTATCCCCCACTTCGCCTATGGGGGTGTGTCAAATTATATGTGTAACATTTATGTAGGCTATAGTACTGGGTCTAGCCTTAGGGGGTACACATATTTTCTCGACACTTGTTTTGTATCCCCCTCCAAACCCTAATTCCACACAACTTCATGCCTAAGATTCTAAGATTTTCCTCCTTCAGTATTGTCACTTCCGCTTGCAGCGATTCCATGCCCCTCGCCATTTCTGCCACTTGCGCCATCAGTCGGTTAACAGCCTCCTGATCCATGTTTCTAGCACTACGTCTGGTGGGCAGTTGGGTACCCGTGGCCGCCCGGCAAGTGAAAACACGAACTATCGGAGTCGGGCAGGGTTGAGTTAACAACCTCTGCAGCCAACCGTCGTGTAGTCACTAAACCAACCACACCCTATGCCACCAAACTACCCTTGAAAAGCGGGGTGAACTAGGAAAGTAGCTCTGATACCAGGTGTTATGAGTTGTAAAAGAGAGTGCGCAGGTAAACGAATAACGAGACTGTGACTGAATGAATCTGAGAATACAATGAATGCGAGAACTAATGTAGGCTAGCCTAGCTAGGAGGAAACCTCGGACGAGCGAGGTTGGGTGCAGGTTTGGCGATGGGAATGCCGAAGGCGACGCGAGGAGCTTCGGCAGCGTGGAAATCGCCCGAACGTGCGAACTCCGAAAATCGGGTTGTACGCGCAGCAGTCAACCCCGATAAGGAATTCGAGAAAATTCCTTACAATAACAACTTATGACTTTATTAAGTGCTCTCAATAGGCATACATCAGTGCGCTGCATAAACAATCTCATGGTGGTATTACTCCTGGCCTATGCTTTTCTAACCCCTTGGGTGGTACGGTACCATAAACAAGTTCGCAGGACCATCCACGCACCTACTGACCCTGCAACTGATCCTTCTAAAAGGTTATCCAATCCATCCCACCATTCATCTTCCTACCAATCCTGATATCCATCCATCCCTCCACCCACCATCTGCATCATGCCTGTCGACCCCCCAAATGACTAGCAGACTGAACCTTACAGCACCTCACAACTCAACCACTCTTCCTCTCACCCATCCTCAGCACCATGCCTGCACAACCCCAGGTATGTGACCAGCAGGTTCACCCGCCCACTGCCATCCTCAGGCTGCTGGGGGCACCGCTCCACCATCACAGCCCTACACCATCCTCTTGTCTCGCAGACTGAACAGTACGCCTATCATGCCTAAACATTATCAAGACCCATCATTCACACCATGCCTGTGCAATCCCAGGTACGTCACCAGCAGGTTCACCCGCCCACTGCCATCCTCAGGCTGCTGGGGGCATCGCTCCACCATCCTCCTCCTAGTGACTTTTGAGTCGACTCAACTCAAGATGCAGCATGATTGTGCAACCCCAGGTACGTGACCAGCAGGTTAACTCTCCCGCCGCCGTCCTCAGGCTGCTGGGGACACCGCTCCACCATCCGCTTAGCGTCACATCCCTTATACTCACACTCGAAGAAGTGCCGGCCAATGGGGTCCCGCCTCATCGGGGTGTGCCCACACGCCCTCCACATGTGCCCGTCCTGTATAGTCACATTGTCAGGACCAGGTCCGTCCACTTGCACAACCGTTAGAGTCACCTGTTCCCCTTCCCCTTCCCCTTCCCCATGGCCTCCCCCCTCATCTTCCTCTTCTGTATCCCCGTCACTCTGGTAGTCTCCCTCCTGCTCATGCTCCTTCACTTTCTCTTGCCCTTGCTCTTGACGTTTCTCTTGCTCTTGCACATGCTCTGTCACACCAGCAACATTGGTCGCACCAGCACCAGTGTTGGCAACCTTGGGAGTATCGTCAAAGCGAGTCCTCTTGGCGGTCCCCCAGGCACAGGATGCTGTGTTGGCCTGGGCGTTGACTCGGTTGACTGGGTTGACCTGCTGGGAAGCGTTGACTGGGTTGACTGAATTGACTGGGCGCACAGGTATATCCATCAGCGGCGGGCGGCTGCGTTTGTTGCTTCTCTGCTGGATGATGCTGGTAGTACCCCCTTCGCCCGGCTGTGGTTGCTGCTGCTGCTGCTGCTGCTGGCACTGCTGCTGCTGGTGGTGTAGCTGTTGGGGAGGCTGCTGGGGAGGCTGCTGGTGTTGCTGCTGGTAAGGCTGCTGGCATGGCTGGTACGGTTTCGTGGTCGGCGCAAGTGATTCTGCTGGCATGGCGGCAGAAGCAGCTACTGTACAGTGTGCTACAGTACCACACGTTACTGTAGTATTTGCACTTACTGTAGAGGGGTTTACTGTAGAACACGTTACAGTAGCAGCTGACTGCGCATTGGTGTGTGCAGCAGGGGGCAATTGCGGCGACAACGAAACCCCACCAGGAGTTGCAGGTATAGAAGATTGGAGGGGATGTCGAAGAGTAGAGTTTTGACGTGTCTCAAAAGTCATAACCCCACCAGGACTTGCGGAAATTGAAGGAGGATGGGGAGGAGGAGACGACAGCGGACGAGCAGGGGCTGACGTGGCAGCAGGAGCAGCAGTAGCAGCAGCTGACGTGGCAGCCAGAGCAGCTCTAGCAGCAGGTGACGTGGCAGCAGGAGGAGCTGTAGCGGCAGCTGACGTGGCGGCAGCAACAGCGCAGAGCACAGGCGGCGAGAGCGAGGCGAGGAGGGCGGGTAGCTCTGAAGGCTGCACTCGCTGCAGCACTGTGAGAATGGCCGATGCTGTTTCCACTGGTAG